TAGTGATTTATAAGATCATCATCAGTGGTGAATCTCTTTGGTTTTTTGTTGTTGTTGTCCAGTATCTAATTTCCTACTTATTGATGGTAGAGGCTCTCGGAAGCAGTTGATGCATTGGAAAAGGATTGTTGGTTTTTTTGGAGTTTTTTTGTTTGTTTGTTTGTTTTGTTTTTTTTCTTAATGCTTCTACTGACTATAAATTTGCTTCAGGTTCAGGAACCTTTACCTACCTTCTAGCCACCATGACCAATTTGAACCCAGCTCCTTAGTATGTATGATATTTTGGTTCAAATAACATTTCTATATCTCTGATAATTGCCTCCTTGTTTCATTATCTTTTAAACCCCTGTATTTAAATGTCTAAATCCATCTCTTGAATGAGCTAACCAAACATAATGCATGTATGACTGGTAAAGTGGTGTCAGGCCTCCTTCTGTGTTGGCAATATCTTTCCTAACATGTTGTACGTCTCTTCTGGTTGCATCCTGTTGGTGGCTCATACTTTTCCCATGGTTTATTGCATCCAAACTTTAACTGATTTTGTAAGGGATTTTTTTTTCCTCTTATACTCGGTTTGACTGATTCCATTCTGCTTGATGTACTATAGTTGTGTAGTATGTATTTAATTTCATGGTCTCTTAAAACCCACCATCTCTATTTGCATTTTTGAGGGGGGTGAGAAGGGGAACACAACACACTGCATTCATCTCATCCCTTTGACTTATATGTTTTAATATCACTTTGTTTCTGTCTTAGGTGTAATTGTTGACATTTACTTGTACCACTAGATAACATGCTCTGTAACCTCTTTCTTAATGAGACATAAATGGCCTAGTTTGTTGACAGTCTGAAACCTAATTCTTTGGTTTTAAACTTCTGTCTTCTCTTTTTCAATCTGGCTAAAGATTCTTTTGGGGGGTTTATGTTAGAGTTGATTATATTTAATTTTTTTACCCCACATATGTTAATCATGGTCTAAGAGAACTAATTAAAGTTACTATTTTCATTCTCCTAATTTTCTTTTCAAGTTGTTATCTATTGTCTAAAAATACCTGTGGTGGAGGACTGATACTGACTGAGTGAAAGAGGATATGTCAGATCCAGGAGATCAGTTGCATACACTGGTTTAGATTTCAGGAAAGAAATATTGAGATTTCTGCTGTTGAGTGTGAAGTTAGTGTTGAGAAGAGCTCTTCTTGACACTAATCATTTTTTGCTAACCTAAGCACATCTTTTATACCTAACTGCTGACTGTCATCAGGTTATGTAGTTGTATCCCATACTGGTTTCCCAGGGAATCAAGGGCAATCTTTTAGCAGTTAAAGGGCTTCTTATTTTGGGGTTTGTTGTGATGTTTGCTTTTTGAGGTTTCTTTTGCCTTGATGGATACTTGGGCACAAGTGGCTCTGAAGTGTCTGAACAAACCTGTTAAACTGGCTGCGCTGTAAAAATTCCTAGGGCAGAAAAATCTCATGTTTTAGAACATTGTATTGGAGATAAACTTTTCAAGAGTTGGCCTCTTTTCCTAATAAAATCAAGCTTTTCTTGCCCACATCCAGCTTTAACTACTTGTTCAAATTTGGAAAATTAGTAAGTTGATATATAACTGGATGTCATCCCCACTTTGACTGTTCAAACTTTCTTATCTCAGCAAATCCATTAACAAATACAGTTGATTTTAAATATTACTTTGAGTTTCACAGCTAGAAAGAATTTGTTTTATTTCATTAAATTATTTTCCTACTTTCAGTTTATTTTCTTTGTGGTCCTTTTTGGGCTACAGATGCTGACATTTTTTTCTTCATAGATAAATTTTTGGTACATGAGAGAGTGCTTATGTTATTTCTTATATTGGCCTTAGAAATGTACTTTATATTAATTATTATTTAATTTATTTATCTTAACATCCAAATCAGCCAACTATAGTATAAAAAGTTGATGTAATTAAAATATTTACTTGATAATGTGTGCATTATAATTTGCACTATTATAATCTAAATTTATTAGAATCTAACATGTCTCTGAAGAATATGTTATAATGGAATGACTTAGCTAGACATAGATAAAATCTTGTGATCATGATACTAAAAAATACCTGCAATATGTTTCTTGGCATATAAACTGTTTGCTGACAGACCAAAAAATCATCAAGTGGCCATGGGGAGTTAGCTACCTGACATGTTAAATCATAACTTTAACATTGACTGCATTCAAATTTTATACAAGTAGTGATTATGAAACTGATACAAGTATTTCTATATAGACACAGTTTTATGAACAAGATTGTAATTTTCCTCTGTAAATATACTTTTTTGCCTTTTTTGACCAAGGACACGATTGGAGATATTTAAAATTGTCATTTTTATATGTATTCTTCACAGAATTAGAATGGCATCTGCTAAGCCATAGTAAAATTGCTACTATAAATATATGAACTTATGATTTTTTTTCTGAAGAGATGTTAATTTCTTTTCTTGGAAAAAGACTATAAAGCTTCATTGAATTTATTTTTAAAATCCAGTTATAGAACATCCTTAAGAAGATACATGATCAAGTCCAATCCACTGCTATTGTTGGTAGCTAAAGCTTAATCTCCTCTAATAAACTGATAAAGCTCAATCTTAAAAGTAGCTTGTGAGAAGGTTGTGTGAAAGTCTCAGCCCAGTGTAGATCTGGTGGTGATGATAGTGTTGTACATCTGTTGCTAACAGCTTATTCCAATCACTGTGAGGTGGCCTGGTTGTTCTGTGTGTCATCTTGTTCTGATAAATCCATACAGCTTGTTGGGAAAGAGCAAGTGAGGAAAAAAATAAAAAAAGGATAACTATTTAGAGCCATGCTATGTTTGTGCCATTAGTAGCTTGATAGGAGTTGGGGAAGTCTAGGGAAATCAAATTGTTGCCTGACCTCATATGACATAAGATCACTGAGGTATAGGTTTGCTGTGTCATTATCATATGATTGGTTCTTGCACAGCTTTACTCTAAGCATTGTATTTTAGGATTTATTTTAGGATACTTAGCATCATTACATACTTTGTGTTCTCAGTGTAAAGATTCTTATAGTGCTAGTTAATAAATAAAACCTGAGGATTTAACTGACTACTGTAGATTTTAGTGTTGCATAATGGCATGTAAATTAGGAAAGTAATTAATTTCTATATTTTTGTAATTAAAGGAAATTTTTAAGTATTTTGTTCTTGGCTTGTTGTGCATTTTTGTTCTGAAGATATTATTATAATGAGTTTTGTGTCGTCGATGCAAAGTCACAGCATGTTAATTTTTAGTAATTCAGTAGTTAAGACAGATAACTTTTAGAATGATGATGGGGCATATTATGAAATTATGTCTACATGGATTGGCAGGATGTTTTCTCACAGAATTGAGTACAGCAAAAATAAATTCTGAGATAAAAATTGGATTAATTTTAAATAATTCTTAATTTTGAAACATACATAATGCTACTGATTTATAGCAAGAGTATATCAAACATGACTTTTTAAAGAAGTTAAACAGAAAAATGTCTAGATGTTGCAGTGTGCTTTTATGCTTTGTAATACTTTGTAATAGTTCTGATTTTGTATCCCCTTATTCTCCCCAGATGATGTACCCCTTTTTGTACCCCCTTCCTCTACCTAAATATATCTGTATATAATAGTTAAGCAGAAACAGTGGCTAAAGATGTATTTGAAAAAAAAGTTCATGGTTGGTTGTACATGATTGGTACAGTATATCAACTTCAAATTATTAATTAACAGCAAATTTGGCAGTAAAATTGGAAGACCAAGGTAGAGGTTTCTTACCTCTCATAAATTTCTGAAAATCTGTATTCATAACTAAAGTGCATTGCTGACTTCTGATATTGTCAGATAACATGGGAGAGTAGCATCAGTTTGCTCATTCCGATGCAATATAGGACTTTATTTTCAGAAGTAATCTTTTATCCTTTGTTTTCTAGGTAAATTATACATGTATGTTGTATTTAGGTACAGGGTTTTTTTTAGTGTGTAGAGATTGAAGCCACTATGCTCTCCAGCATATTCTTCCAGATTCTTAAGGCCATGCCTTTTGTAAAGGGCAAGGTAGTAAGTACCTTGCTTTCGTAATAAACAGATATCTGCACTGGAATGTCCAGAAGATCAACTTTCATATTAAATACAAAGAGAAGATAACCACTGGGGGGGTTTTTTTGTTTGTTTCTTTGGGTTTTATGGTGATTTTTTTTTTTTTTTTTGGTAGGGGGGTGTTGTTGGTTTTATTTGGTTTCTTGTAATTATTGACCATTGTAGTGCTGAATTTTTAACAACACATTGTAATGTTCATATGCTAAAGCATTATTATTTTCAACATCCCTTCCTTTTTTTTCTTCTAACTGTTTTAGGTTTTTTGTATTTAGGCCTAGTCAATCTGAAATTAGCTAAAATGAGGGTATCTAGTTCCAAAGGGAGGATTGTGAAATGTCTGCAGCACAAGTTTGATCATAGAATCATAGTATATCTCAAGTTTGAAGGGTTCCGTAAGAATCATTGAGTCCAACGTCCTGCTCCTTGCTAAACCACATGACTAAGAGCACTGTCCAGATGCTGAGTGAAATCAGAATGGTTTGGTGTAATGAAATCTTCAGGAGGAATCTGTCCCAGTGACTGACCACCCCCTCAGTGAAGAACCTTTTCATAATGTTAAACTGAACATTTCCTGACACAGTTTCATGCCATTTTCTTGTGTCAGCTCAAGAATTAAACAATTGTTTCTACATCAAATTAATAGGATGTTGTAAACAAATGTATTGGGCAGTATATTATATATAAGACTATATATGCCTTGAAGATGTCTCTTTTGGTCTGATCTATTATTGTACATTTTGTTGCGTTTAAATTGAGATCAAAGAACACTTAACTGGACATACCAACTGGACTTTAGGTTAAGAGCATACTAAGTAACATTTAATAATATTATTAATTACAACAATTTAAGGAACACTTTGAGGTTTTTAATATTTTATTATAATATTTAGTACACATAGTTTTATTCATCCTACACATACGTTATGTTATACCTGTATGTTATGGTTTAACCTCAACAACAGCCAAGCCCCACTCGGCTACTCTCTCATTCCCCACCAGCAGGACTGGGGAGAGAATCTGCAGAGTAAAAGCCAAAGAACTTGTTGGTTGAGATAATTACAGTTTAATAGGGAAATAAAAAAACAAGCACACAAACAAAGCTAAACAAGGAATCCTTTCACTGCTTCACATGGGCAGGTAGGTGCTCCACCATCTCCAGGAGAGAAGGGCGCCATCAGTGCTTACTTGGGGACACAAACACCATCACTCTGAATGTCTCCCCCTGCTCCTTCATCCCCTTGCTTTATGTACTTGACATGGTGTAGTATGGTCTGGAATATCCCTTGGGTCAATCGGGGTCAAGTGTCCCAGCCTGAATTTCCTTACAGCTTCACATGCACCCTCAGAAAATGCCTTGGCTCCATGTAATCTATATTAATTATAATCTCTGTGTTGTCAGTTCTGTTCAGCACAATCCCAAAACACATCCCCATACCAGCCACTGGGAAGAAAATTAACTCTCCCTAGCCAAAACCAGCACACTATAGTATAATACTTTTCCCAGCACTTGGAGATGAATGATGAAGTAAGCAAAAAAACATATAATTGCCTCATGATGCATTTGCAGTCTTTCTTGTCTTTATTTTTTCATGTATAATTTAACACCAAACTTCTTAATTTATTCACAGGTAATTGTAACAGATATTTTTAAGTGGTTTAACTTCCCATCTGCTATCCTGAGATTTTAATTACATCTGTATTTTTCAGTCGACGATATTTACCAGTTTATTGAAAGGATAATGCAGTATCCATATCCATTTTAGCCCATGCTTCCCTGATGATGCTGAAACTAAATGTGAGTCACAGTGTTTGTCTGTCTTGAGAGACTCATTGTTCTGACAGGTTGGTATTGAGACTAGGAAACTCAGATCACATAGATGGTGGAGCAGCTACACGTTGTTGTGGTTTGACACTGGCCAAATTTCAGGCACCCACAAAAGCCCCTTGCTCACCCTCCCCTGCCGCTGCTGAGCAGAGGGGAGAAAAATTAATGAAGGGTTCATCAGCTGAGATAAGGATTGAGAGAAAAAAAATTCCAAGAGCAAAGCAGGCTCAACTTAAAGGTACCAAGTGAATTTATTGCTAACTAAATCAGAGAAGGATAATGACAAGTAAAATAAGCTCTTAAAGACATCCTTTCTTTCCCCAGGCCCTCCCTTCTTCCCACCAACAGTGCAGGGCGACAGGGCACGGTGGTTTGGTCAGTTTGCCACTGCAGGTTTTCTTCCCCTGCACAGGAGAGGAGTCCCCTGCTACACCATGGGGTCCCTCCCATGGGAGACAGTTCTCCATGAACCTTTCCAGAGTGGGTCCACTCTCACGAGCAGGAGTTCTCCCAAAATTCCTGCAACATAAGTCCATCCCACAGACACACAGTCTTCCTAAAGCTGCTGTGGTGCATGTCACTCTTCCACTGAGTGCAGTCCTCCAAGGACAGGCTGCTCCAGCCTGGAAGCAGGGACCCCCTCTATCCACCAGGTCTCCCACTGGATCACAGCCTCCTCCAGGCATCCACCTTCTCCAGCGTGAGCACCTCCCCCACGGGCTGCGGGAGGAACTCTGCATCCCCCGTGGATCCCCAAGGGCTGCAGGGGCACGGCTGTTCCACCATGATCTCACCATGGCCCGCAGAGGAATCTCGGCTCTGCCACCTGGAGCATCTCCTCCCCTCCTTCTCCACCAACCTAAGTGTCTCCGTTGTTTCCCTTACATGTTCTCACCTCCTCCTCCTCTTGTCTGACTAGAAAAAACCTGTGCACTTTGTTTTGATTTCCTTCTTAAATATGTTATCAGAGAGGTGTTACCAGCCCCTCTCATTGACCCAGCTTTGGCCAGCAGCATGTCCATCTTCAGAGCATCAGGGATTGGCTCTGCCAGCAATGCTGGAAGCTTCCAGCATCTTCTCACAGAAGCTGCCTCTGTGGCACTCTAACTACCAAAAACCAGAGGGTGCAAAACCAATACACAGGCATAAAAAAGAAACAAGTTTTCATAGATGGTGGAACAGCTACAGGCATAAAAGAGAAACAAGTTTGATACTATTGTACTACTTGTAATTCTTTGATCAAGATTCTCAGTGATACTATGTGCCCTTATAAAAAAGCCACAACACCCCGAAAGTAAAGCCTTTCCTTAATGGGCAAGTATTAATTTACTTGAAACCATGATTTTCATGTGTAACAGGCAGTAATAATATGAATATGTTTTAACAATTTGTAAAATTTTGTTCGCAGAGGCAGTACATCAGTAGTGTTTTTCTTGATTGCTCATAGACCGTGGTTATGGTCAGGGAATTCTTTGGCAGTGTCATTCGAGGTGACTGAATTGGTGCTGTGTTTCTCATACAGTTTATGAGACCATGCAATTCTCTGCAGTTTGCATAGTTAATATTTGAGCTGAAATCTCAAAGGGCAAGTAATTTGAAAAATTTCAGCGGCATTGCAGGAAGTTCTTCTGTATATTCTTATGTCTGTATCTATTTACATGAATGACTGTATAACTACAAAAAATCTGATAATCTTGGAATGCTACTTCCTGTTACTGGGTGTCTTGACTTAAATATTTATGGTTTTGCGTGTGCAGTTTGTATTTTTTGTTTGTTTTCTTTTTTCCTCCTTGACTGTCAGAATTTCTGAGTTAGAGGTTGTGAACCAAAATTATTGCTGTTTTTCTTTATTCCCCTGGAGAATGTCACCTGCCTATACACATTCTGGGGTAGGACAGGTAATGACACAGAATTGCTCTGTGGAAACAGTAAGTAATGTCGATGAATTAGTAGCTGGTACTTTCAGCTACTTTTCCTACTTTGCTTTGTCTATTTCTTGATTAAACAATAGATGTCCCTGTTTAGTTTATACATTTATTATATTACAGACTGTGGGGAACAGCTTGTTAAGTCAGTATAGAAAGGCAGAGGTTGTCTGGATCCTAGGTTTCTTATGAAACTGGTTTTTTTTTAGGTCAGCACAATCTCTGTTGAGGATTTGATAGTTGCTGTAGCCATGCAGTCAGGAAGATTTCTATGATAATATCTCCTAAACAGCACAGCTGAAGAAGTGTATTGCTGCAGTACGGAAATGTGGTAGTACAGCTTTTATTCCTTTTTACCTTTCATTTTCACTGGCATAATGCACGGTGAAACCTAATGTGAAACTTGGAAGCATATCAGAAAAGGACACTACCTGTGGAAGGAATAAGAGCTATCAGATATGTGGAACTCTTCTAAGGAAGAGAAAAGAAGCTGATCCATTCCAATGAATTTGTTAAATTAGGCTTTTTAGTTTTCAGCCTACGCTGGTGGCTGCAGCTGAGCCATTTAGGCTCTGCTGGCTGTGAACAATGGAGTTGCAGATTTTTTTTCCTTTTAAAAAAAAAAAAATTAAACCGATGCTTGGTATTTGTGATAATTTTGGCCCCTCCTACTGTGCCAATTGAAACCACTCCCTACATAACCAAAACAAATCATTCCCCATGATTCTGAAGATATTTTACATTTCAGTACATGCTTTTGTGTACTGAACTACATTTTGTAGATAGTACATTTTTAAAAAATGAAAGTACTTTTTTAGGAGACAGATAAGAATGACTCAAACAGCACCTCATTTTCGGAGCTCAGAAGCACAGCAAAATCAATCTTGAAGCACTAACCTGCTTAAATTTTAAATACTGGAATACATAATCTAATAATTGCTTTAGTATTGAATTCTGTTTTCTATTAGAAAATCCAATAGGTAGAACATTTAAACTGCTGTTAAATGTATTTCAAATTACATATTTATGAATTTAAAACTTATTAATCTCAAATCATACCACAGACTTCAGATCTGATCTTTGAGTAGCTTGTTGTACTGTTGAGTAAATTTTAGCACAGGATTTATTGTACTTATATGTGTTCAGGTTCTGTATTTTTTATTTCAACTGTGCCTTCTTTCATGGCTTGGATGACTTATATTTCCCACTGGTTTGACGAAGATGATTGGTACGAAGGACAACAAAGAGTAAGAATTGCTTAAAGTAATATTTTCTCTTTTATTATCTTTATATTTTTCTTCTTTAAGGTGCTCTTTATTATTATATTGATAATATCAAAAGTAGTATTTCAATAGTGGTATAGGAAGAGATTTTTAGTAGTTTTAGTGAGGTCTTGAATCATAAATAAAGCATATCCAAAATGAGTTTTGGATATAAGTGAAGCATAGTGAAGCATATTGAAATGAAGCATATTGAAAATTAACATTGCTAGCTGGATAAAAGGTACTGGAAGTGTGACAACCACCTACTTACATTTTTTAGGTTGCATAATTTAACAAGTAGTAATTTTTTAATATGCAATGAGATGGAAAGCAACAATTTCATTTTGTTGTATTAGAAGGAATTAATATACCATGCATAGAGTAAAATAAAATAGTTATAGTAGTAATAGGGTAAGCCAAAAATGTTTGGGAGAGATTAAATTCACCTAGGGTCATTTCCAAGTTGTATCTTGCATAGCTTTATGTTTTTATTAACATTTTTCTGAGGAGGAGTTGTTACTATGGCAACATTTGCAGGATAACTTGGATTTATTTTTAGCATTTATTAACTGCATGTCTACAGCTGCTTTCATAGATTTATGGTGGGAAATGAATATAAGTCACATTTCTTTCACTGTATTAAACTCTTTTATGGTACCTTATATTTCTGTGATTTCTTTTTCTTGTTTTCAGAGTATATGGTCAGCTAATTAGTTAGAATGCAGGAGATGCTAGTGAAAGCATCTGCTTTCGTTGTATTATTGTGTATTACTTGACAATGCCAGCTATATGCTCATAAGTATAAAAAAACTGGCAGATATTAATACTGTTCCACTTTTCTCATTTTACATGTCACTCATGATATGGATGCTTCAGATGCAGAATTACATTTTAATAGCTGTCATCAGGGATTCAGATGTGAGAAGTGTCAAGAAGTAACTTTATCTGAAATCAGAGCAGTCTTGGCAATTTGCCAGAAGGAAAGCAATCTTCTGGTGATTGTTGTAGCTCTGGATTGGAAGATGAGAACAGAATCTTATGCAGACTCTTAGATGCTTCATACTGTGATCAGACATGGTTGTATGCATATCTCTGTGTATTGCACACATTATCTGCAAACTATGTCTAAGCAATACTCCACCGATAATGGCTTTGTTATCACTGCTAGATGGTTTCATATTGATTAGGTGTGTAGTCCAACACTTCTGGTGATTTATTGTTAGAAATATCAGCATTTCTTCATGCCTGGAGAATTGTATGGCTAGTATGGCTCTTTAGATTATTTTGTTAAGGTGGCACAGTAAAGGGCATTTTAATTAAATGTACAAGTAGTATAGTCAAGACAGTCAAAAGCACTACTTTGTAAGACTTACTAGGTTACTTTTTTTCTAATGTTATTGCCTTATGTTTTCTAAGCAGGGTATCTATCTTGGATTAATACATTTTGGGTTTATTTTGAGTGTTTGTTTCTGAAAAACAGTTTTGGGCTGTGATTTCAAGTTTCCAACTTTAAGGAAAGGTCCAAAACTTCTTGCTTTTTGAAGCCAGAGATCCTGTGGTTAAATCAGTTCTGGTAGTGATTTGGGTCCAAGTTTATTGTGGAGGTTTAAAATGGCAGTGAACACTAGTACAACATTTGTTCATTTCAAATAATCTTTTAAATCACAGTATTATTTTTCCTGGTCAGTGTCTAGATAAGCGAATGCACATTTTGAACACTTGCTACGTTGTCATAGATAAGGAAATGTTATCTGCAAATTCTGGTTGCAAGAGTCTAGCCAAAGCTTCTGGTATTGTTGAGGAATCTTGTTGAAATTCAAACAAGAATTCATGTCCAAGGCACCCTCTTCCTGACTATGACTGGCCTTCTGATTATCTGGAAGCTATAAATGACCTGTGTGCCATGAATTGTATACAAAACTAGAAAAAAACTTTTCCAATTTTTGCAAACTATCTATGCTGCTTAGTGGTAAGCCATCAGCCAGCCTGGCACTTTAACAAGCAGTAGACTGCCTTGGTAGAATTCTCCTGGAAAGTATGAAGGGCTTCAGTTGTGTAGGGAAGTACATGTGTAAACCTACATAATTATTATACATTGTTCTATGTTGTGACTGTCACTACTGTCACTACTAATATAGGCAGACTTTGTTCATCTTTTGCCCAGAAGCAGTTGCTTGAGTAGTGTGTGTCTCAGACTATTCAGAGACCTGCAGTAGTAACTGCAGTTTAGTAAGCCATCTCACGATTGCAAATTGGTTAGCACTTTGCAGTATTCCAAAGTAGGAAAAACTTTTGTTTGTTTTGTCAATTTTCATTTTGTAAGTTACCTATTGGCTTTTAAGCTGTATACCAGAGTATTTCTATATATAGCAGAGTATTTCCAATTACCCTTATTTGATGGGTCAGGAAAAATTAATGAGAAATTAATTTCCTAACATGACCATAATGTGCTTGGAGTTTCCCAGTTCCACTGGAAGAACACCAGTACTAATTTCACTTGTGTTTTTACATGTGTCTCAGTGCTGTTGAGGCAGACATTGTCAGTCAGAAGTAATTTTCTGCTGTGGCTTGCAGACATGCCAAACTTTCTTCACAAGTTTGAAGACCTTTGTGCTTTTAGCAAGATAAAATGATTGTCCATTATCTGGTGCTGCTAACTGGTCTCACTGGATAGGGTAATGATTTTGAAACTCTGTGGTTTACAGGTGAAATTTTCAACTCCAACGGATTTCCTCCCAAGGGTAAATACCAATGTTTTCAAGGAGAAATAATGTGATATAATGTATTATATCACTAAAGATCTTACTAATTATTATGTTTTCATTGATTTGCTGACAAAGATATTGATACCTTGGGACAGTAGTGTGGATGAGATATAACAGTTTTATATGTCAGACATACAGGAGTGACAGCAAGCTTTCCATATAAGAAAAGTGACAAACCTGATAGAAAATAAGGACAATAGAGTGAATAGAAGCAGAGTACACTAGCACTTTACCTCTTGTAGCTGTTAAGAATCTACACTTTGTATACGCAGAAGCATATTGATTAACATAAGGCTACTCTACATCCACTTTTGTATGCATGCCATATTGCATATTTGGATAGGTCATACACCACATGGACCATAATCAAAGCACATGTGAGCATCTGTTGCTTGTGCTTGATGGTTAGACATTTACTGATAACGTGCAAGCACTGTATTGATAATGAAAGTGTTAAGTGATGGGTTTAAAGAGCTATTATTATTCTACAAGTGTTATCATAGTGCAGTTGGGAAATACAGCAAGCAATGAAATACAATGAGCAGCTGAAGCAGAGAAAAAGGAGTTAGATTAAAATTAAAATGGTGCCTGTTAAAGAGCTGCAGTTGCCAGGCTACTGGCACTGCAGTTTTGTGTGTGGTGTGACACAGCACTCAGTCTTTTCTCCTGCATCCTGTAGTAACTGCATTATTTGTGAACATCAAGGTTTAGTTCCTCCATCTGTCAAGTAAAGTGATTTCATTCTACAATGATAACAATATTTTCAATTTTTGGGACCAGCAAGGTGTTGGAATGAACATGGAAATTCTAAAGTGCTTTGCAAAAATTGATACCTATGCTAAGGTAGGGATTATTAGGCATTTGTCTTTTAAGTTATTGATATAAAGCCATGGTATGTATGTAGTCAATTCAGTTGTTACTTTTAAATAATATTTATGATATACCAAATTTTTTAATGTGGTTGGTTGTTGGGTTTTTTTCTATATTAAGGAGCAAGGAAGGACCTAGAATGTTGCTACTTCTGCCAGTTGAAAAGAAAGGGTTTTGTTGTCCTCCCTCTTTCCTCCATCTCCTTGGAAACTGTGAGCACACACTGCTAGCTTTCCCAATGTGGTATACGTTTTTTACATGCACAGGTTTGTTTTTTTTCATTGTATACTTAAGAGTCAAATATAATTACTTGTACATCCCTTATTTCAAAATAAAATATTTTTTTACAAATTATAAAAAAATCTCAATTGTATAAAAATGCACCATGTGTGAAATCATACATATTTTCAGTTATGCTGCATTTCTGCATTTTTGTCATTTTACTTAGGCTGTTCTGATGAATACATCTTTCTCTTTTATATCTGCTTACTCTGTTAATTATGCTTATCAGAAATCTATAATGTTTGAAAAGATGTGCAGGAAATTGCTTTAAGGCATGATACCTATGAGAGGGCAAGTCATTATTCCACTCAACTGTCATTTCTTCTTCTAGATACTGTCATTTTGAACTTCAAGGCAAATGTTTCCTCTTGTAAAATGGTATATCATTACAAAGAGCAGGAAATAATAACAAATTTTAAACAATAAATAAAATGCAAATTCTGTAACAAAGCTCAGAATATTTTACATATGTAACTTTTTAACATATATTTAAATAGAGAAAATCTAGTCAAAGTTTCAGAATACTTATTAAGCATGAATTCTTGACTTAGTGAAACAATGCTATGTTACAGAACAACATTTTTCATCTAAAATTGAAAAATTTCATCAATTAGCAGCATTTTTATAGAGATTACTGCAGAATCCTACAATACAAACCTGTTGTTACTCTGAAAGAAAAATCTGTGGAATTCTGTTTTAGCATCTGTAAGAGATCTTAGCTTTACCACTAATTTTACATGTGATTAAACTGCAAAGTAAACAAGACTTAAATAATATTTTCTTACAGATTAAACTTCATCAAATCAAGAACTCTTAGCTTCCATAAGAGAAGGTAAAAAAGAGTATCTGTACAAAGTGAAAAAAATCTTTTATTGTTATGAAATAAAGCCTTATGTAGTCTTAGGTTCTATATAATTGTCATTTTTTTATCAATCTTATACTGATGGTTTTCAGGTGGCAAACCTGCAAACTAAACCTATGATAATCTAATATTTTACAGTTAATTCTCTCCTACTTCAACATGGCTTTTCTTTTAACTTTCCTTATCAATTGGCTGATATACCTAGAGTTTTAACCATTGTTTTCCCTGGAATTAAGAGCAGAACCCAAAATTTCTAGTTCCAGGTATTCTATGCTTTCCTAAAATAGTAATCTAATGAGCTGGAGGATCAGCTGGGGGATGATCCCAGTAATCTCAGTAAATCTGAGATTAATCTCAGTAAAAGTGGTTGCTAATGGTGCCAGTTATTTTTTTCATAGGAACTAGAAGAAGTCTGTTCTGGATGCCCCAAATCAAATTATTTCTCTGCATATGTGATTTACACTTTAATTGCACAGAAGGGACTGCTGGAATTTGTGGTTTTACTGAACAGGAAAAGAACACTACATGGAAAAATTAGAAGTTTGGAGGCTATTTTTCCCACTTGATGATGGTGATTATTTAAATAATTAGATAAATTTCTCTCTGGGGAACTCATATCATTTAGAACATGAGATGGATTGCAAAGAAGCTGCAAGATTATGCAATTTATAGAAATGTCCTTTCTGAAATGTCTAATTTGCTGCAGAAGTCAGAAGAATAAATGTTATTGACAGACAGAAAGGAAGTCTAATAGCCAAAGCCCTAGTCTGCAACGAAGATATATCTTGTAACTTGATTTTCTGTATGTTTCTGTTCTTCTGTTGCAGTCTCTTTTACCAAAATTTTCAAAGGTTACATGTGAGCATTTCATTTCCTTCAGTCATTTGGTACTCACTCAGAATGTTTAAGCACTTCAATTAGGGTCAGTGATATCTTTGAGACGATCAGTCTCAAACATTCAACTGATCCTGATTTTCTGCTAAAGAAACCCCAAAATAAGTCACTCTCATTTTTTTTCTTTTACTTTCACACTTTCCAAAGTGAGAGAAAAATGATTTTCTGAAATTTGCTACCTATAATTATTCATTACTGTTTACCTCCCAAGCAAATACACCAAGCAGAGGAGAAAAATTAAAAATAGAATTAATCATTCAACTGTATTTTTATCCCTAATATAAATGCATTAAAATAAAATTTTGATAATATTTAGGCAACCAGTTTTTAGTTGATACTGAACAATAGGTTCCTTTGGGTTCTGTAGATCACTACTGCAACACCTGTATAAAGTTTGTTCTGTATGTGCCTTAATACTGCCATCATCTAGAAAAATATTTCCCCCTCTATACATTTGACATCAGGTAGGTCAAGACTGATCTACAGCAAAGCATTGAGTAACAGTCGGTTACTCAATGCTTTGCTGTGCAACATCTGTGCTAAACTGTTGCACAGCAATGCATGGAGTAGCAGACCCTTGTACTTCATCAACAGTTGCTCCCTCAAAATGCTTGATTGCTTTTGAAGTCTCCTTTCTTGTTAATTCCCTTTCCGTTGTGGAACTTGAAATGGTACCTAACACTTGGTAAATTTAACATAGCTCTCCTCCTCTTTCAGGATTATACTCTTAGCTCTTTGACCTAAAAATGTCATCCTCCATATTCTATGTAATATTTTTCCACCTAATGTCCCTCAGTCCATTAATCTATCCACAGCATAAATGTGACCCTGAGACATTCTGGTACTAGGTAGTGTGTTGACATTATCCTGAATGAAATGGGGGCTAGGTAAATTATTGGTCTGGCCCAGCAAAGCATTTCTTGCATTTTTATGTTGAAGTCAGTTTTCTCACTCTGAGCACAGCTGGTACTGTGAGACTTGTTTTGGACAGAGAAAGCATAGTTTGCTGTACTATAATGTTACCCTAAGCTTTGCTTTTGATTTTTCACAGCTCACTTCAATATTTTTTGTTTAACAGTAATTATTAAAATTTAGAAAGCTTCTCCAGAAAGGATGATAATAAGGAGGATAATATGACAAAGAGTTGTTCTATGCAAGTGGTTTGAAGACCTTTCTACATGTCGGTTTTACTTAAAACTATTGGTATATGGTTTATTTTGTCTAGCTATCAGTGGGAGATGAATGGGAGAGCAGAGGAGGCATCAAACTGTAATAGAGAAAGTATTGAACCAGACCACAGAAGAAAACGGACATGATGAACAGTTTCAGCTAGTACAAATCAAGAACTATTCAAGTTTTTATGGATGGGATCCCTCACCCCTGCTTTTCTTCCAACTGGTGAATGGTATTAGGCACCCTTTCTTTTGTGGCACTGAAGCCTCTGAACATCTACTTGTATTTATTTTGGATACATTCATTTGTATCTCACGCGAGTTATTTTTTTAAAGTAGACATTTATAAATTATTTATAGGAACAAAAATGTATTATTCTATTCTTTAATATTCTGTCATCTTGGAGTCTAATGAATTTCTGTTTTAAAGGCAAAAATGTCACATGTGAAACAAGTGGGACTTTTAGCTGCTGGATGTCAGCCATGGAACAAGGATATATGTGCCGCTAGTGGGGACAGATTTGCCTACTGTGCTACCCTTGCTGTTTATATTTATCAGGTAAGATTATTCTTGTTTATCAGTTACACTGTAACGTTGTTGATCTCACTTTGAACCCTTTAAACAAATGTTTCTGCAATGCTTTTGCAAGTATGGTTGCTGCTGACAAGATGTCTATATAAAGCTCAATATTCCATTCAGGATACCCTTGAAGTTGTGTGTGTCAAGAATTATTTTTAGAAGACAGGCTTACAGTGCAGCAAACATGTGAGAAGAATGAAGCTCAGTGATAGAAGACTGTGTTCTGAGGGAGAAATGAAGTAATACCACAATTACATTCAAAGCTGTAGTATAAAATAGTCTTTAGCACAGTGTATTAAAATGGTTCCAAATTGTGGATTCAGGGACACACCTTTATTTCATTTGGAGCACAAACACCTCAGCACTGTGGTCTTCTGAAGTTTTCAGTTGTTGTATATCAACACCTAACTAACAAATAGAAATGCTGTGACATGGAATTTTCAGATTGAGAAATATGTGAGGAAATAAAGGATATACTTTAAGAGCTATAAAGGTAGTAGGATTAAAATGAACAAAATTTACTGTGTCATATTTGGGCATATTTATGTATTTTTAACTGTACTAAGTTATTTTAAAAATTAGAAGGATTTCAAACTAATTTTTATATTCTTTCCTGTTTACCCCCTTGGAGATTACTAAATTATTGTTACCATGCCTATAAATAAAGCATTTTAGGATTGTTTGAGTACACTTCTAAATGAAATATAATAATTTATAAGTGACAGGAAGATAGACATAAAACTGTTTTCTGCATAGTCGGATATCGGGCACCCCTTCTTTTCAAGTCAAATGTATGAGGATTTATTTTATTAAGATGTGAGGTACTGGCAATAATTGAATACACTATAAATTAATCCATAATTCTAATACTGTTATATGAAGTATTCTCCAACTCAGAGGTATTTAAAGTAAGTTAACAAAAAATGTATTTCTAAAATGAATTTTACTATTTGTTTAGCTGGATCACCGATACAATGAATTCAAGCTCCATGCAATTATGTCTGAGCACAAGAAGACAATCACAGCCATATCTTGGTGTCCCCACAACCCTGACGTGTTTGCAAGTGCCAGTGCAGATAGTTTAGTGATCATATGGAATGTGAATGAACAGAAGGTTGTGGCCAAGCTGGACAATACAAAAGGTATTTTTGACATGGAGATCTGTTTTATCCATACAGTTTTATCCATGGGTATGAGAAATACTTGATACAGTATAAACTCTATAGTTGGTAGGTTGGAGTTTTAACAATTGCCTAGCAGATTAATAATTGCCTAACACAATCTGACAGATTCTTGTCAGATTTGTTGTCATTCATTCTAGAAAATAATGATAGTATATTTGAGTAAATTGCCTTCAACCATCTTGTATTTGATAAAGAAAGACATTATTCTTTTTCTCTAAAGAACTTAACCAGTTCAAGAATTAACTTTGCTAGTGATTTCTTGTTGAGCCGAGGAGAAAAAAACATCCCCAAACCAACATTATTTTCATCACTGTATAAAAGGATAAACAATTAAATTTTAAAATAATAAATTTCACAATGACTTTAGATAAGTGAAAGCAAATAAAAGGTAGCCTTAACAGATTCAACTATAAATCATCAGTGAATTTGAACAACAGCTTTTGTTTAAATACCCTAATGCTTGTCTGCCTGAATCTTATCTCAGGCCTTGAAACTGCTGGAGATTGTATTACAAGTCTAGGGAGTTAAGCATCTATGTTACAGTTACATTTTCATGCCCAGTTCTGATTTATGCGATTTAGGTAAAACCAGTACCTGTATTTCTGTTCTTACAGTCAATCTCATCAGGTATCCTTGACTCCTACATTTTGGAAAGTGAGTGCGACCCAAGAGCAGTTAGAATCTCAGGATCTAATGAGCTATTTTGGGACTCCCTACTCTGTTCTCTCCAGAGCATTTAGGAATACCTCTGGAAATCTTTTATATCTTGCATATCATGCAAAAGAAACTCCACAGTGATTTGATTTATTCCAAAAGAAATATTGTATCAGTTTATGCATAAATATAAATGCTGGTACTTATTTTTCAGTATATGGATTGTTAAAAAATCTACAGGAAGAAATGTTATTACTATTTTAATATTTTTAGAAACTAAATTAAGATAATATGTTTAAACCTTCTATTGATTTCTCTTTTAGTCTCTTTTACACTGCCATATAAAAGTGTCTAAATACAGTTTTAAGTTTTCAGCTTGAGGAATTTGTCTTACTGTCATTTATTCCTTCAGGCACACATGATTAAGTTATGAGGATTAACAGGGTTGGAGACATTAAGATCAAAATTCTTAAATGGGACTGCCTACACTTAGGTGTTAGACAATGGAATTAAAACTGTCATGTATCCAGAAGAAAGCTATTGAGAGCTCCCTTTTATTATGGAACTAGCTTTCAAATTTTGTCACAAATATCTGCTTCTGTTAGATTTATCTCTAAATTTCATTGTATTTTGATAAAATAGGCATTTTGAAGTTCTCAGTATTTTACTATCTTAGTAGTAAATAACTTACAGCAAAACATAGTAGTTGAATGAAATTCTGAATGAATGAAAGTATTGTTTGCAGGATCAGGCTTATCCTCTTTCAAATGTGTGATTGACTTTGGCACTGATGAAGTATAGATACCATTAAATACAACCCGTCAAAGTAGCATAAGAGTAATTTGGGAAATTATTTTACTTCCTTCCTCTAGAAGTCTAGTTTAATTTTACACATTAAGATGTTCACACACTTCTCTAAATTTCAGTCTAGCAACTTCTATGTAGAAAAATGATTCCTACTGTTTTTCGAGACAATTGCTGATACTGGGTCAAGGATTAGTACATGGAATTTTGTGTCCTGGTTCTTATAAAGTTTACCTGTATGTTTCAGGAATTCCTGCATCCCTTGGCTGGTGCTGGAATGCAGGTGATGCAGTTGCGTTTGTGTCGCACAGAGGTCCACTGTACATTTGGACTATCTCAGGACCTGACAGCGGGGTAACTGTGCATAGAGAAGCACATAGTTTCTTGTCAGATATCAGTCTGTTCAGATGGCATCCAAAGAAAAAAGGAAAGGTGGTATTTGGGCATACTGATGGAAGCCTGTCTATTTTTCAACCAGGTAAAAACTCATATGACAAAATATTTAGTTTTATATATGTATCTCTTGTTTCTCCATATATAATTTTTCACTTTTTAAAATTAGATTCTATCATGTAGGTACATACATAACATATTTTCTCGATTCACAATATTCCTAGTCCTTCCATATTACAAAAATGTGCTTTCTTAGATAAAGAATTCAGAGCATTTTCTTTATGTCTCCTGCCTTTTGAGACCAAGATAAGACTGCATTTTTTTCACAACTGCAGTAAACACTTTTTTTTTTGCAAATGCTGACAGCCATGATCTTCTACTGAACTATATTTTCCTGATTTTCCTGCAAGTTTATTTTTCTGAATGGAAAGACTTGAATCTTTTGTTTACTTTCCTGCTTTTGCATTTGTTCTGGAGTCCTCTATTTCATATTCTAGAATCCTCTGCAATTTTATACGTAGAATCTCACCTCATACTTATATTCTTAATATTATCTTCATGGTTCTGTTCTGTCAAAGGATAGATAGGAAAATATTTATCTCTTTTTGTCTGAAATCCACCACACACATTTGTGCGTACTAAAGACTAAAAATAGTCTAGACCTCTGCCAAGAAGGTGTCATGTTAAGCTCATTTGAAGGTAATATTTCACTTGTTTTCATAGTTTTCTTCAAAGGCAGGTATTTGTTTTAGATTCACTATTTGAATTTTTTCCTGACTGCTTCTTCCTTAAATAAAAATTGATTTTCAGCTGTGTGAGAAAAACTGTTCTTTAAATTATGTCTTAATTTTACATAGAGTTGTTCTCCAACAGCCATACAAAATTTATTTTTCTTCAGTTCACTCTACTAAGTTGTCACATAGGATGTCACAGAAATAGATTCTCTTGCTTCTGTAGTGCTGACTGAATTAGCACTGGCTTTGGGAAAAGGAAATAAATTCTAATATGATAACAATTAAGTATTTATCAGACTGATACTTTTCATGAAGTCTGTCTAAAATGATTTGAATATGAAAACATAAATAATAGGAAAAATATTTAAAATATCAAAATCATGTTCTGCAAATGAAAATAGGATGTAGGCTAAAAAATCTAGGTAGTGGCAGTTTTGTATGTGCCACAATTCAAGTTGCTCTAAAGAAATTGTTTAAGGAAAATTATTTATTACTGTTGGGGATAAAACTATTTGCATAAACTCAAAATTTAGATTAGATTGTCACAGGAATGCTGCCTTTCTCTGTATTTAAGATAGTTTTGTTTATTATTGTAATATTACACATCTTTATTAAAATAATTTTAAAATTAAAAAAATATGCAAGTTCTTTCCTATTCTCAGCATGCATAGCATTCTTCATTTCCTACAGAGAAATAAAACTTGAAAGTTTATATGCAGCTGGGTGAAAATCTTCTGCATAAGTAGCAAACTACACAATGGTTTTTTCACTGTTGTTATCTACCTAGTTTCTGCTCCCATGGCTGTATTTTCTTTCTTATTAACTCTAGACTATGCATTAATGTATCAGAACATTTAGTGTAAAGAAAATATATGCAAGAATATAAGATTAATACACAATTCTTAGGGAAGTTCAGTGCAGTCATATAGAGCCAAATGTTTTCCCTTTCATTTGTTCTCAAGATAAGCACAGCTTACTTAAATGACGTGTGACTCAGTTGCATGATTCATACTGTTCATGTCTTCTTTTAATGGAAAACAAAATTTAAGTTAGGGTTTTCATGAGGTTTGGTTTTTGACTCTTTTTTTGAAACACAGGTAAAACTCAATTACTCCTAGGTAGATACTCATATTCTCCCACCTGGTGGTTGTACTTTCTTGGGGCTGAAGTGTTTGAAAATGGATGGCTTCATTCACTTGAGGACTTCTTGCTTTTAGTTCTTGTGTAGCTAGTTGAAAAAAGATAATTCTGCTTTGTTGTTTGTTCTTGTTTTTCATTTCAGTGTTGATTTGCAGTAAAACTAAAAGGTGACCTGTAATATAAGCAGGGGACATTGTTTATACAAAGTGTGAGTTCTCAAGTTTTTGGCAAATTAAAGCAATTATCATACTTCTGTTATTCTCAATGCTTTAGAAGAGTGAAAAAGAAATGGAAACAAAAAATTGGTTTATTGTTAATTGTTGTGCGGTCTTAAATTATTTCTCCCATTTCTGGTACCTGATTTTATTAAGTTGCCTTAGATGTAATGTGTATGAGTCGGTACTAAAATTGAAAATTAGACTGAAGATGAATAATGGAAGGTGTAGATTCCTTATTTCTAGAAAAGCAGTATCTTTTTTTATAAGATCACAACTTCAGAAATACAGATCTATTTCATTTGGACTGTACACTGCCTTATACAACTAAGATTCATCTCTCTGTAAAGAGAAAAAGTGGGCAATAAAAAATGTGGGTTTCAGTAATACAGATCATCAAGTGAAGCATGTAGTCTTTTTTGTAGGTGTCAGACTAGATACTTAATCTTCTGTTTTGGCTACAGAATCTATAAACACTTCATAGCTGCACACATAGTTTTAAAGAAGGGAAAACATCTTAAGGCAGTTCTTCAGAAAAGGCCTTTACTGCCACAGAGTTTTTCTGGTTCTTACTGCCTTTATTTTGCCTATATTTGCTGTGGTGTGAAGATTTACTTGCACTCAAATGGCTTGTATTTTATGCTGTGCTGTGGAACTTTACTCACAGAAATTATTAGAACAATGCATATGATTTGACATACTTTCCTTTCCTATAAAATTATGTTTATAAATCTGATAGATGTTTCTGTTTCCTGCTGTATTAAACATAAAGTCAAATCTCATAGAAAAAGTAATTCTCTAAGTCAAATATGGCAAAGACAGCTTCATTATTTTTATTGCTACAGACAATAGAGCAGGCTAGTAAAAAATTCAGGAAGAGAGGAAGAAATTATCTTTGCCAACCTTGTAACTATTGAAAGGATATATTTGATTTAATTTTTAAATAACCTGTTTTCTTGTGCACTTTCAAGGTTCTAAAAATCAGAAACATGTCTTAAGACCAGAGTCTCTTGAAGGAACGGATGAAGAGGATCCAGTTACAGCTCTGGAGTGGGACCCTTTGTCAACTGATTACCTTCTTGTTGCTAATTTACATAATGGTATTCGACTAGTTGATTCTGAATCTCTGTCCTGTATCACAACGTTTAGTTTTCCCAGTGCAGCAGCATCTGTTCAGTGTTTAGCCTGGGTTTCTAGTGCACCTGGAATGTTTATAACTGGAGGTAAGGCTTTTATTTCTTGATTTATACAAAGATAACAAATACAGGACTGAGTATCAAAAATTGATACTCCAAGTTTGATTTTTCTGTTTCATAATATTTTTACAAGTAGAAGCATACATCAATTTTACAGAAAAAGACCATAACACAAAACCAGAAAATAATAAAACTACACTGAGCAGTTTTTTTCATGTTTTTAAAATATTAGCTACATAAATATGTGACTTTCTACAATTTTTCTATGCTAAATAATGTTTTCCTTATGCATGCTTTAGCAAAAAAAAAATTAATTCCTTTGGGAATAAAATAAATAGGAATAAAAACGCTTTGTACTAATTGATATCACTTCAAAGATTTAAAAAATTAAAAGAAGAAAAGAATCTAATTCCTGCCTATTTTCTACACCATAGTCATTATGGCTCAGATTGAACTAATGAGTAAAGAATTTAAGACTGGCAGAATATTTTATAAAAAAGAGGTAGAATTTATCTGTGTTTAAGTAACTAATGTTAATGAAGATTGTTGTTAATAGTGATATGGCCATGGTGGTAAATGGAGGATGCCATGGATGTTACACTAGATGATCTCCAGAGGTTCCCTCTAACCCTAACTATTCTATGATTCTATAGAGTTGATGGTGCCTGCTTGTAAATTTATTTTTAGGACTTGAAGTTTAATTCACTGCTGTATTTTTGTATAAATCAGTCCTCAAACTACACACCTCTGTTTTGTTTTTTTTAAACCTCAGATTCTCAGGTTGGTGTGTTACGTGTTTGGAATGTTTCACGTACAACACCTATAGATAATTTTAAATTGAAGCAAACTGGTTTCCATGGCTTGCATGTGCTAAGTTCTCCTCCAAAAAAAAAGTGTAAGTGTAATTTTGATTGTTATTCATTGTAATGGCTGCAACTTAAGAAAATCTTATTTATGAGTCCAGATCAATCTCTGTAGCATTGGTCAGCTATTTAGTTCTTAATTAAAGTACCTTCTGCTGCTAGTGCATTAGACAAATGCATAAAGGATCAAGTACTTTATAAGGTCCTTCTTTAGTAGGACAGGCTTCATACAGGAATTCTCCATTTCTTTTGTTTTAAATCTTATTAGAATACAAGCATTTTACTCTTTATAATTTCACTCATTATTGAAATAAGAAATGAACTTCTCTCTTTGTCTTTTGTTTTATATTATTAAGCATGTTCATCACAGTATCCTACTAAAAATCACCATACATCTTCAACAAGTGAGGCTGTTCCTCCTCCAACTTTAACCCAAAACCAAGCATTTTCTCTTCCTCCTGGTCATACCGTCTGTTGCTTCATGGATGGTGGAGTGGGGCTTTATGACATGGGAGCCAAAAAGTGGGATTTCCTTAGAGATTTGGTATGGTTCATCTCTGTCTTTGAATAGAGAGTTTATTTGCCTTATGCACTTTCTTCTAACAGCAAAAAACTGGATAATGAAGTCTTTGCAGTAACATGGAGCAGTTTCTATTGTTAAAGAGAGCCTAAATTTCTAGGAAACAAAATGATAGTTATGAAGTTTAAAGTAATCTTTTATTGGAAATTACTGAATTCTGTTAGAAGTATTCTGACAGGTTTTTTTTTTTTTAAACAGAAATAAAGATTTACAGACTTGTTTTTAGCTTGTTTATTTTTTTAAATGAAATTTTAGTCTAATGATCTTTTCAGAAATTTTCTCTTGTGGGTTTTCTATAATTCAGAATAAAAGTTTAAGTAAAATCAGAGAGCTATATGGTGAATGCACTCAGTTTAACATTACAAAGAATTATTAAATTCTCTTTAAGCTGAAATTCAGAAATTGGTTTAATATATATTAGATGACCCTTTTCTACACCAGGCTTTTGGTTATTGACATATTCTTCAGAATATTTTTCTTTACCTCTTTCCAAGTTCCCTTTTCACTGAAAAAAAACCAAACAAACAAAGCTCAAATAATTTTCAGCTGTACTCTCATATGCATTTGAATAGAAGCTGCTGGTTGGTTTTCTCTTTCCATTTTTATTTGGTTTGGTCCTGTAAAGCAACTGAGGCTTCAAAAAAAATTCTTACTTAATACTTGCGTTTCATATATTTATCAACTTAAATTCTACAAATGCATGTCTTGGAAATCAACCAATCGATACATTAAAACTGATGGATTGAAGTTTAAGCTGAAATAGAGCATAGACTGTATCTAGAAACACAGAATATTCAGTGGGGCACTAGACAACTTGTAGAACATGTTTAATATACCGAGCTTTGTTTTTTCAGTCAGGTACTTTTTACCAAAAGGGAAAAACTGTTCCTGTTTTAAAAAATTAAGGTTTTGGGGTTTGGGGTTTTTTTTGCTTAATTTTTTAATTTAATATTTTAATAACATATTTCCAACAGAAAATGCTAAAAAGTTCCTGGCATTGCGTACCCTGTGGTTTCAGGAAATAATTTTTCTGGTTTTAATAATAATGTATGAAAGAGCATGTTATAGTTGAAGTTATTTTATGCCTTTTAATTTTGACTGATAAGCCTAAATATAAAAGGGTTTTGGAACTCTTAATTGACCTGACAGTTAAATGAAATACAATGTATTTTAGAGTTTAATCTAGAGTTGGACTTATGAAGAAAATCAAATGTAATAAAAATGGATTAAATATTTGTTTCATTTAAGGGACATGTTGAGACCATCTTTGATTGCAAATTCAAACCTGATAACCCTGATCTTCTTGCTACAGCTTCATTTGATGGCACAATAAAAGTTTGGGACATAAATACTTTATCAGCGGTTTATACATCTCCTGGTAATGAGGGGGTTATTTATTCCATTTCTTGGGCTCCAGGTAAGAATATTTTGTGGTATGTCTAAATGTTCTTTGAATTAGCATTAACTGCAGAATTTGTCATATAAAAGTATTAGTTTTATATAGAAAGGCGTCTTCTAAGGTTTAAACAAAACTTAATTGTCTGTGAAACCAGTAGAATTCAATATTTCAAATCTTGCTGAAGCTTACCCTTTGAGTAATGCTTCCAGTATTTCATACTCAGAATGGAGGGAGAAAAATCACTGGAACATTTCTAACATGGCATTTTGCAGATGAAAAAAATGTCCTGCTTTGCATGAGAAGCAGCTACTTAATAGAATTCAGATTATATTTTGTGCTGAAATAGTGGAACGTATGTATTTAGCTCTTTTTCTTACTTCTTTATGTAGGAGTCTAATCACTGAAGAACTCCGTTTTAAACTTATTAGAATAGGAAGTGTCTTTTTTGCAAAGCATCTACTTTTTCTTTCACAAATCACCGGACTCACTGGGAAATTTCATGTTCAAAGCTGTCCTGTAACCTCCTTTGGTGTACCTGAAAATACACTTCTGATAGCTGTCAATAGTGGACAATAAGTTGACTTCCCTGTTGCATTTTATTTCTTTGGACAGCAGATGTATCTTTTAAAAATCTAAATAATTAATCTCTCTTCTCACCTGCACTTTTAAACTCTTGCAGTGGTGCAAGATTAAGAAAACAAAATACTGTTAGGTGTTCTCTCTCATTTGTATGATTTGTCTTTGTATTTACGGAACTTTAAAGGAAAATGCTCTAGTTGTTACAACTTTAGGCTTGAAACATTGAGGTTACCTCTCAGTTTGAATCATATGCATCATGATCATTAATTTCTTACATGCAAGACTTTTAGCAAGCATTAAGACACTTTTTACAGGAATACAATTTTTATTTGACCATTTCTCAAAACCAGAATGTAGAAAAACAGGTCAGGCTGTCACTGAAATTGGTGTTTGTGACTTAGTAGCAAATGTTGCCCCTAAACTATGGAAAACCCAAGTTCATGTACCATTGATGTCTTATGTTCATATTATATTTCTTCAATTTATAGTAGAACCACTGTCAAAAAATATTGTGATTTTATAATTATTGTAATATTTTACAAACATCTTTCTTTAGGAAATCTTAACTGCATAGCAGGTGGAACATCCAGAAATGGTGGCTTTATCTGGGATGTTCGAAAAGGCAAAATGATAACCAGATTCAGTGAGGTAAGATGAGTTTACTACTTTTTTGGTCTATATGAAATGTAAGTTAGTCATTCCCTCTAGTGTCCATAAATACAGATGGCCAAAGGACTTATGTTTTTAAAAGGTGTTATAGTATAAAAATTCATGGAGTTATGTAGGTGCCAGTTTACATGTGTGGCAGAAGTATTTTTACTTCCTCAGATTGGATTTGTGATACGAGAGTGGTGAAGCACCAGATGGACTCCATTATCTTAAAATTGGTCCTGTAGGGATACATGGCAAAAGCATTGCTGATTCCTTAACTGTGTAAACATATATGGACATACAGACTCAGCATCAAAATGAAAACTGTGTTCTGTACTTTCAAACATAAGGGCCAGGAAAAACTTTCAGTACCTGCAGTCTAGATCCATAAAACTCGATTTTGCAGCACACTAAGCAGTATGACTATTTAGTGGCTTGCCTTGTATTACCTGAAATTTATCCAGACATTTTTAAGGCCTGAAATAGTAGTATAATTTTTATTGGCAGAAGGAGTTGTGTAATACTATGTTGTAGTATTTTACACTATTTTGTGTATTCCCAGTATATAGTTGTGATCTTCAGATTATACAGACATAATCATTTAAGTATAGGATCCACATCAATGTACAAGGGATGCTCTTTAAGAGAGAGGTAGGGGAGTGAGGAGAGACACAAGCAGAAAGCAAGGATACCTACCTTCAGGAGTTCTGGCATTCTAATACTGATATTGGTATTTGTGCTACTAAATATCTTTTCTGTAATACTGGTCCTGATACACATCCCAGTTAAGTTTTCTCATACCACAATTTTTCATGCCCACATACTTCATTATTCCAACAAGTAACTAACCTTTATTCAGACTGAGTGAATAATTAACGTTGGAAGGGACAACAGGGAGTCATCTGGTCCAACCTCCTTGCTCAAGCAAGGTCATTCTAGAACACTTTGCACAGGATTGCATCCAGATAGTTCTGGAATATGTGCAGAGAGGGAGACTCCCCAGCCTCTCAGGACAATCTGTTCCAGTGCTTGGTCACTTACACAATAGAGAAGTTCTTCCTCCTGTTCAGTTGGAACTTCCTGTGCATCAGTTTCTGCCCATCGCCTCTTGCTTGGCACTACTGAGCAGAGCCTGGCTCCATCCTCTTGGCATGCTCCCATCACATACTGACAGACATTGATGATCACCTCTCAGTTGTGACTTTTCAAGACTGAATAGGCCCAGCTCTCTCAGCCTTTTCTTGTAAGAGAAATCATTTTTGTTGACCCCTATTGGACCCTCTCCACAAATCTCTCTTGTACTGAGAAGGACAAAACTGAGCACAATACTCCAATGTCCTCTCCAGGGCAGAGTAGAAGAGCAGGATCACCTCCATTGCCCTGCTGGAATACTCTTCCTAATGCACCCCAGAATACCACTGTCCTCTTGGCCACAAGGTCACACTGCTGGCTCATGGACAGCTTGGTGTCCACCAGAACCCCCAGGACGTTCTCCACAGAGCTGCTTTCCAGCAGGTTGCTCCCAGCCTGAGCTGGTACATGAGTTTATTCTTCCCCACGTGCAGGACCCTGCATTTGCCTTTGTTGAATTTCAGCTGGTTCCTCTCTGCCCATCTCTCCAACCTGCCAAGGTCCCTCTGAAGGGCTGCACGGCACTCTGGGGTATCAGCCACTCCTCCCAGCTTTGTGTCATCAGTCAACTTGCTGAGGACACATCTGCCCTTCATCAAGTCATTGATGAACAAGCTAAACAATTCTGGGACCAGTATTGAATCCTGAGGGCCACCACTAGTAATAGGCCTACAACTAGACCCTGTGCCACTGATTACAACCCTCTGGGATCTGCTGTTCAACTAGTTTTCAATCCACCTCACTGTCCACACTTCCTGAGTTTGACTATGAGTACTTTGTGAGAGACAATGTTGAAATTCTTGCCAAAATCAAGGTAGGCAATATGCACTGCTGTCTCTCATCATCCATTGAGGTGAGGCTAATTGGCTAGTAGTTCCCTGGGTCTTCCTCTTTCTTTTTGAAGACTGGAGTGACATTTGTTTTCTTACAGTCCTCATCTCAAATACCTCTCCTGATTGCCACAGCCTTCCTTTCAAAGATGACCATGAGCAGCCTCCCCGTGGTGATACTCTTTCAGCATTTGTGGATGCATCCTGTCAGGGCCCATGGACCTGTGGATGTCAAGTTTGTCTGTGTGTTCTCTAACCCAGTTCATTTTGATCAAGGGAATGTCTTCCTTCCAGCATTCTTCTATGCTGGTCCCTTGAGTCAGAGATTCCTGAGAGCTGGTTCTGTCAGTGAAGACTGTTGAAAAGAAGGTGTTCAATAACTCTGCCTTTTCTGTATCCTCTGTCACCAGAGTCCTTCCTTCATTTAGTAATGGGCCTATGTTATCCTCGTTTTTCGTTTTGTTATTAATGGTGTTGAAGAAGCACTACCTCTTGTCCTTGACATCCTTGGCCAAATTTAATTCTGGATGAGCCTTTGTCTTCCTTATCTCATTTCTGCTTATTTTGCCAACCTTTCTGTATTAATTCCAAGTGGGCTGACCCTGCTTCTATCCCCTGTGAATTTTCTACATGCAGTTAAGTAATGACAGAAGTTCCTTGGTGATCCATGATCTCTTGCCCTCTTTCCTGTTTCTTGCTCATGGGGGTGCATTGTTCTTGAGCCTGGAGGAAGTCATCCTTGAATATCAACTGATTCTCTTGGACCCTTTTTCCCTGCAAGGCATGTTCCCATGGAACTGTTCAAAGAAAATCCCTGAAGAGACTAAAGGTAGATCTCCTGAAGTCTATGATTGTATCTTGCTGCCCTGCTTCCACCTTGCCTGATACTGAACTCCACAGTCTCAATGGTCACTGCAGCCAAGGTTGCCCCCAGCCTTCACATCTTCCACAACACTTTCCCTGTTTGTTAGTATGAGATTCAAGCAGCACAACATTCCTTGTGGGATCCTACATGACCTGTGACAGGAGGTTGCCATTAACACTTTCCAGGAACCTCTGGGACTCTTTGTGCTTCACTGTGTTGCTTCTCCAGCAGATATGAGGGTAGTTAAAGTGTCCCACAAGAACTAGTGCCTGTGACTTTGGGGCTGCTTGTAGCTGTCTGTAGAAGGCTTCATCCACTTCCTTTTACCTATCAGGCAGCCTATCACAAACACCCACAACAGTGTTTTATCCAAACCATAAGCTCTTGACTTGCCCATCATCCACTCCAAGACAGAGCTTGATATGTCCTGAATGTTGTCTCACACAGGGGGAAATTCCAGCTATGTGACTTCCTGGCCTGTCTTTCCTAAACATTGTGTAGCCTTTTGTGGCAACATTTCAGCCTTGCGAGCTATCCCACCGTGTCTCTGTAATCACAGTGCAGTCAAAGGCCTGTCATTGCACACAGATCTCTAGTTCATCCAGTTTGTTCCCCATACTGCGTGTGTTGGGGTACAGGCACCTAATAGAAGTATTGGATTCTATCAAATACTTCTATTAGTAGTCCTGTCTAGTGATTATATCTTTGGCTGCTTGTGCTTGCTCCAGGTACTGCCTCTTAAGCCTCCTAATGCTACTAGAGTGGTTTCTATTGTTCTCCCCTTCCCTACACATTCTCTTTGGCAAGCCTGGCCCTGGTCGCTTTCCAAACTAGTTTAAAGCTCTCGCAGTGAGCCCTATGAACTCCTGAACTAAGCTCCTTGTTCTCTTTGTTGCCAGCAGGCTCGGTGTTGTATAAACTGACCCATGATCAAAACCCCCAAAATTGTGCTGGTAACACCAGCATCAAGTCCAGTTGTTCAGCTGCATAATCTTCCTGTTTCTTGCCACATCATTCCCTGCAACTGGCAGGACAGAAGAGAACACAACTTGTGCTTTACATCCTTTGAGCCGTTGCCCCAAGGCCCAAAGGTCCCTCTTGATTGTCCACAGTGTTCTTTATTTAAGCTTCAGGTGTATATAGTTATGGATTGCTAATTCTTCAGCTTGACCCAGTTTTGTCTCTTAGATGCTGGAGGCTGTAGCAGTTTTACTACTTATCCCCATAATCCCAGTGTTTTGGACTTGGATTCTCAAACATCCAGCTTATATTGGGTACTCATTATAATGTGGTTTTGTACAGTTTACTGTACTGGGAGAAAAGTGCTGAAGACCACAGGAGAATAAAGTAAAAAATATGAGTCAATAGATGAGAGAAAAAGGGGTGAATTATTTCTTATTGATAGGTATTTTGCATTTTTTGAAGCATGGAAAGAATGGAATCTTCTGCATTGCCTGGAGTCATAAAGATTCCAAAAGAATAGCAACCTGCAGCAGTGATGGATTTTGGTGAGTGTTATTGGAAGAAAAAAAAATTGCTAAATGCACTTCTCAAGTCCATAAATTTTGACAGTACTCTCAGTAATTAATTTAAAAAATTTTCTTACTGGACAAAACTTAAATTCTATTACTCTTCTGTACTTGCTAGTGTACATTTTTCATGATCTTAAGAAAAAAATAAAGGTAGTGTTTTCAAATGGAATAGTGTCTAAGACACACTGATAGTGAAACTAAATAGTTATTTTTATTTGGAAAAGAATATCCTTCTAGGTTTCTTATCTGTAGATGACACTTTTCAAAAGACAGCCAACTTTAAAAATTTTTTTTTAGTTTGTTCTTTCAAGGACTAAAAAGTACTATTTTAGAATGAAATAACTACAGGTGCGTTATCACAGGAATATAATACCTAATTTCTAAAAATGCATGAATGTCCATTGAAACCAATTTTGCATATATTGTGTTTCAGTACAAGAGATTTTAAAAATCTTTCTTCATTTGTTTCCTCTGCTACCTATGTCATTCCAGCTCGAACGTAACGGGCAGAAATTTTAGAAAAAAATTAACCTTCGTTTTAATTCATAAAGATCTATTTGTACCTTAAAAAACCATGACTACAACTTTGATTCTGGGCAATGAGATCCTTTCTTGAAAGATGTACCACAGTGAACGTCTTTAAAGCCTCTCTGAGGAAACATAGATAACTGAAGTCAAAAAAAAAAATCAACATCCAGTTAAATGTTGTGATTGAAGGGCCAATATTGTTTGTGGCTGTTTCTCCTATTCTTTGTGTGTATCTTTTTGCTCTCTGGTTTATTTGCACAGAATAAAACTTAATTTTGGATAGCCTACCCAGAATGTATTTTTCCTTATAATATCACATTGTAATTGCTTTCAGTATTATTCGAACCATTGATGGCAATGTTCTTCACAAGTACAAACATCCAGCTGCAGTGTTTGGCTGTGATTGGAGTCAAAACAACAAGTAAGTAAAAATTAACCCAAAGAATTCACAATATTTACTATTTAAATAGATTACCAGTAAAGTAACACAAATTTATCTAGAATGTGATATTCACTGTGATAGCAAAACACTGAAATGATCTCTTCCAAAGCAGGATATGCCTACAGCAGCTCTCTCTTCCCAGTAGTATATGTCATTGACTACCATGAACTTCCTTAACTTTCAAAGGAAGATCATTTCATATTGATGAGTGGAAAAAAAAATTATCTAGCTGAATATATAATGGGGGGGAGGGGGGGAAAGACGTTCAATACCAGGAAAGAGGGGTGAAGATTGGTGTCCTTGTAATGACTACTAAGGGGAAAATGAAGCAGACAACTAAATACATTGTGATTATATGTAAATTTTGTAGATAATTCCTAACAATGACATGACAGTTTTTTGTAAAAAAAAAAAATTATAGTAATAGTAGTTGTGTATTGGGTGCATAGTCAGATGAGTGCAAATATATTCCTCATTGCAACTAAAGGATCTTTATCAGGTTGTTTCTGATTTAGTTTTTTTAATTGGATTATCAATACCTACATCTTGAAGAGATGAAGGAGAAGCAAAAAATTGCTATTTAAAAAAAATAATTGAAAATCGCACATCATATTTTTTTTTAATTTAAAAGGCATTCATCATCTCTGTGAGCAAGGATTTTGCTGGTTTTATTTTGCAGAGATATGATAGCTACCGGTTGTGAGGATAAAAATGTTCGTGTTTACTACTTGGCAACCAGCTCTGATCAACCATTGAAAGTTTTTACTGGGCATACTGCAAAGGTGTTTCATGTGCGGTGGTCTCCTCTCAGAGAAGGAATCCTCTGCAGTGGCTCTGATGATGGGTGAGTATTTCTGAACTATTCAAAAACTTAAACCTCAAGCAGGACTATTGGAGAAACTCACACAGTGAGTGAAACTCAATGGAGTTGTCCATAATTAATAGCCTAAATCTCTGGCTTGTTCAGATCCAGGTTTTAGCTCTGCTCTTAGCTTTATGTAGTATTTGGACAGCAGGATCATTATCTAAAATAGTCACAACTGCTGCACTAGTGCAAGTTTCTATGTGCTTTCCCAAAAGTAGGGTCAGTGCCTGATACTGTTACTGCAAGGAATAGCACAAGGAGGATACCACATGCTTGCATTACGTCTGAAGAAACAGGTGCAAGACCTGCTCTTATTTGATATTTTTCAAAAGTGTACTTAAGTAGAATCTGCAGAGAATTTTAATGAGTATTGGATCCTTCTGTTTTTTGGTTTGATGCCATTGTTTTTGAGGGAGGGCACATGAGTCCATGGTAAGCAGAAGGAAGCATTTTTCTATGACTCTAAGCCACTTCACTGCAGAATATACTAGATATATTTGTAAAGGATATTTTGTCAAGTTTAGAGTATTGGCTTCTATTGCTTTCCCATTATCATTTGAGGTTTGTTCTTGAAGCAAAATCTATTAGTTCATAGTGTAGTGATTCATGACAGAAGACAACTTGATAGCAAACTTCTTGGCAATAAAGTACATTGAATAGGACTGGCCCTAGAATTGAACCCTGAGGAGCATTGCTGCTAACCAGCTGCCAGCCAGATTTAGCCCCTTTCACTACAACTCTTTAAGCCCTGTTGTAATGCAAATAAATATTCTGATAAATTTGAAGCTTAAAATATTGCTGAAGTAGAGAGCTAATTATATTTCAATAGGTGATCTTATGTAGATTGTCCTCTTTTCTCCTGTTTCAGAACCGTTCGGATATGGGATTATACACAAGATGCTTGTATAAATGTTCTTAGTGGACATACAGCTCCGGTTCGGGGACTGATGTGGAATCCTGAAATTCCTTACCTTCTAATATCTGGCAGTTGGGACTATACAATTCGAGTTTGGGACACAAGAGATGGAACATGTTTGGATACAGTTTATGATCATGGTGCAGATGTATATGGTAATATCTTTTAATTTTTTTTAAATTTCTGTATTAAAATGTATTCTAATAGGGTTTGAAATGTATAAAGTAGTTTAATCAAACAGGTTATTAGATAAACTTATTTGACTACATTTTTAAATATCCCCTCTACTAGGATTAACGTGTCATCCTAGTCGTCCATTTACTATGGCATCTTGCTCTCGTGATTCCACTGTGAGACTCTGGTCATTGACACCTCTTATAAACCCTCTACAAATAAATATCATAACAGACAGATGCTGGGATGATATTATTGGCAATACAGGTAAGCTAATAGCCATTGTTTTAATTTTCTTTATGTTAATATTTCTATTCCTTTGGTTGTTTCTTATTTTAATTTCATATATAAATTTTTGTGTGTGTTAGATCGTGCCGTGGAGTCTGGAGCTCCTCCTTTGCTGTGTGGAAAAGTTTCCAGGGATATTAAACAAGAATTGGAAAAATTGTCAGGAAGTCCTCAAGGAAAAAAACTAAGGTGGTTTTCAGAATTTTTTTCAGTAAGTATTCTGCAAACTTAGGGATGCTGTCAATGTGCATGACTTTCTTTTCTGAAGTCAATCTACAAAATTGAGATTTCTTTTTTCTCTACCATTTTTTTCGCTCTTTCTTGAAAGGACCTTAGAAAATAGGCAGAAATAAATTTATTTCCTAACATGTTGGCATATAAATATGTCCATGATTAAATTGCTTGTCAGTTGTGAAAAACAAATTTTACTAATTCAACTTTGCAAAAAACAAACCACCTTTTTGCAAATTTAAATGAGTGAAATAATACAATTTTCTATAGGAAAAGTTAATTTGACAGCAATTTGCTATTGAAGAAAATAAAATTATGTGTTTAATCAAACTGCATTAGAGTTTTTAAAAGAACATCCTCATTACTGGTAAGTTTTGAACTGCCTCAGTGTCTGTGCCCAAACTGCTTTTTATGTTTTAGGAACTGTAGATCCAGATGATCTATGCCTCAGTATCCATCTACTGCTTTTTCTCCGTTGCAGAGTAATATATTCTATAAATTGCTGCAGCTACTCAGTGCAAATGAGTTAAAAATTATGTGTTCCTGTGAGTTCTTACCTGAATAGGAGCTGCACTTGAGGTGCAACAAGGACAAAATTACTTGGAACTACAGGTTCTACTACTACTGAAACTTGTGTCAAACACTGTTGTAATTTAAATCAAAACACTAACCTAAAAAGACCTAGTTCGTCCAAAATAGATTTGGTTTGAGTTTTAGCTAAATTAAAGTGTATAATTTAGAAATAATGAAACAATCTTTCTCAATTTCAAACTTAGACATTTTCTTCTTTGTTAAAAATATATTTATGTTTTACAGAAGTTATAAATTTTGATTTCCCTTGTTATTTGACAGTAAAACTCTTTTAAGAATACTAGAATTTTACAAGAACAAAAGCTTTTTTGATCAGGTATGGGCAGTGCTTTTTGAGTCCAGAAAATGAGGTATTGTGCTAAACTATGAGGAGTCTAGTAAGAGTTTTAGTGGATAGAAAAAAAGGAGAGTAGTCTTTTTTTTTTTTTAGGGGAGGTGGGAGAGTGAGGTTTCCCTAGTTGGATTTTATGCTTCTTACCAGCTCAGAAATTATTAGACTTCTAAACTTGTGATCCTGGTATTCTTAGAAAAGCTTTTTTAGGTTAAAGGTTTCATGGTTTTTTTAAGCTTTTGAATACTCACTCTCTTCTAAACTTCATTCAGTGTTAAACTGTTGTCCTGTTTCTACAGAAGGATTGATTCAAAGGCTAGACCAATAGAAATGCTTAAAATCTATTTTTAAAAAATTATTTTGTGCATATACCGTTATACTATATGTGTCTATTTTAAGATTTAATATTAAGGTAGTGGCAGGTTGTGGCAGTCAAGCCTTGAAGCTCTTTTCTACCTGGCCCATGCCTTTGTTTTACAGAAAGTAGTAAACAGGTCCTGGGTCAGATCCTGCATGGCAGCAGCTGACTGGTGGTTTGTGCCAGCAGTAGACACAAGATAGCTTGCATTTATTTGAGAGCAAAAGGGAAAACTAATGGTGAGCCCTCAGCTATATCCACACATAACCAAATAGGTTCATGGATCTCACTGTATCTTTACAGCCTTCAAGAGGACTGAAGGACTTGTAGTCTCTTGAACTGACTCATGTTTTCATAATAAAGGTTCTAATATTCAAATTGTCTGAAATTGTATCTCTTGGAGTTAACTGACAAATGTTTTCCAATATCTTTATAAGTTCAAGTTTCTCTCTTGAACATAACTGTAATAAAACTCTTCTTCCCTAACAATTTTAGCCTCCAGGAGGCAGCAAAAATTTATGGGATTTGGTTGCTGTAATAAAGGGACAGGATGACAGTTTGCTTCCACAAAACTACTGCAAAGGAATCATGCATATGAAACACCTCATTAGATTTAGACTGGTAAGTGAAGCACAAACAGTATGTGAAAATGGTTGTTAGTCCCTGTAGTATTTCACCATTTAAAAATAACATTCAGTGCTTTACAAAAGGTCACAACTTCATATCCAAAGATATTTGTGTAATACCAGTTCTTCACTGAAATACTAGTCTGTTACAATAGTATCTAGCTGAGTCTGTGTGACTTCATGCATTCTCAGTGTTAAAATGCTAGGTTACAGTTATTAACTAGAAAAGCATTTTTCAAAACAATTAAAAGCAATTGCAAGCAATCATCACTACAGTTTCAGCTATGAAGCGATTTGGCTTGCCTATTACATACAGTGTACTTTTATATTCAGTAACGTCAAATTATTTGATTGTATAAACATGAAGAGTGTAACTATGTCCAGATGCACAGACAGAGGAATTAATGTCTGAAAATGAGGGAGAGTCAGCAGAAATATGTTCTGTAGCTCTCTGGAAGAAGGAATGGCAGGAACCTGTCCTTAATACAGATACTCAGCTTAAGAGTGACTTGGATGAGAAAAGGAAATTCAAGTACTAGGCCATAAATTTATTAGTAGCTGCATTTATGAATATGCAACCAGATACACAGTTTGTGTAGAATCTGAAGATTCATCATTCTGTCAGGAAGTTCTTAGGAGTACTAAAGAATCCCATACTCTAATGACTGGCTTGTAAGTAGAGGAAAGATGATCTACTGGTATGGATCAGGGAATGCACTTGCTAGCCCTAGGCCTAATACTTGCCAGGTATCACCTGTTGTTTGCTGTTACATGCTGTCTCTTTTGTAAAATCACAGGCTCTTTTAGAGTGCCCTATGTTACTGATGACACTCAAGTGATTAAAGTTTATTAGTGTTGTTAACTGTAATAATAGTAGCTGCTCTGCTAATCCTATGAAGCTCTGTTTGTGTGTCCATGTGTCCAAAACAGCAGTTTTCTCAGCCAGTTAGCCTGAAAAGACATTAAATCTTGACCTGTGCAGTGTCAGCAGTCTGGTTACCCCTGCAAAATTACTTAATGCATTTATAACTCCAGTGACCTAGAGTAACTACAGTAATTGCTGGTCTTTCTGTGGATCTGGATTAAGTGTTCACATTAATTAAAAGCATTTTTTTCCCCTTCTTGCTGACTTAGAATCTTGTTTGGAAGCTTTAAGAGAAAGTATGGGGTAGAGTAATGCTGACTGCTTGTTAAGGACTGCAAATACTCTCTTTTCCTTAGGAACTAAATAATGGCACTGCAGCACCTATACATTTCAGGATGAAGTAAGGATGTAGAGCAACACTGTTTTTCTGGTTTTAGTAAACAGAGAGGATGCATTGGAGGCTTTAGCATGAAAATAATAAAAAATATAGAGGTGCTGAGGAAAAAAATAATGTAGTATGTTTTAAAAAAAAAAACGAAGCGGATTCTTGGGAGCTGCCATTGGTCTACTTGGCAGTTTACTTTGATGAAGAATGTTCAAAATTCATTCTCCATCTTCCATATATGGTTCTGCAAAGTCATGAAGAGCCAAATGCCATCATTGTGCATTGAAGATAGAATTCAACTGAGAATTCTTGAAATGGGAATCTCAATTTTTTGGTTTTTTTTTTCCCCTGTACATATAATTCTGTTGCAGTTTGTTTGTCAGACCATGCCAGATGAAGAAATTTAGTCTTATCTTCCCAACTAATACAAAAATTGCAAAAGTTGGGAATATAAATAATTTCTTGGCCATAAGGATAATTGGGGATGACAGATCAAATCACAGAGCTTGTTGTCTACCAGTTAAGCCTATTGGCTTTGTTATTTCTTTGTGTGGACATCATTATAATAGTAATATGTACAATTTTCAGCTCTGTATGGTTTATGTTCACAAATTATTATTTTTTAAGTTTCAAAATATCAAGATATTTATGAGGGCTATCTGGATAAATTACTATCATATATGAGAACAAAAAATGAAGTTATTATAGGAAGACAATAAAAATGTATATGCACAATAAAACACTAACACATTTACTTTAACAACATAAATATAGTTCACTGTAATCTCATTGAAATCTCTTTCAATTAGCCTTTTTGCTAAAGAATTTTTTTCTTAAATTATAACCTTTATATTCTGTTGTAATATTTAGCAATAGTTCATTCTTAAGGAAACTTTTTTCATCACAGAAAACTTCTTAATCTTTTTTTTTTTTTCCTCTCAGTCCAAGGCACAAGAACTGACAACAGTAAAGATGTCTAAATTTGGAGGTGGTATTGGTGCACCAAGCAAAGAGGAAAGACTCAAAGAAGCTGCAGAAATACATTTAAGATTAGGACAAATTCAGCGATATTGTGAGCTAATGGTAGAACTTGGAGAGGTAAAATACCAGAACACTATTGAAGAATAAAAAAAAATGAAGGTTTCTGAAAACCAGCTACCCTAGCAAAGATGGGGATGCAATGAATGGGTCACAAGTCCCCAAAAAAGTAATCTTGTTCCACTTGTTTTTAACAAATGCAGTGTAAAGCATAACTCATTTCTTATTTAACTCTTGGGAAATATACTTTTAATGGAGCAAAAGTTACACTAGTTTAAAATATGGCTGCTTCTCAAACAGAAATGATCATGTTAAATGTATTACTGCTTTCTTCTAGTGGGACAAAGCTCTCTCAGTTGCACCTGGTGTATCAATGAAATATTGGAGGAAGTTAATGCAAAGGTAAGCTAATTAAAATATGATGGCAAATTGTAGCTTCAGTTCATAAAAGGACACAGACAAGTGGGAAGGATGGATACTATTACCAGATACACTTGTCATTTGTTACAGCATTCTAGTGATGGTACTTTTTGTTCAGTAAGCTTTGGGATAGAATTGTGGAGGATTTCGACAATAACTTTGTGTACAAGAATCAAAGGCTTGAAAATAAATTGCAACTTTATAAACTCATTAGGTGCAGCATTCACAGTTTGTAAGTCTGGAAAGGCAGATGGGTTTCAGTGAACTTTATTCAGCTTCATCTAACACCTACACCATGTAGTTAAGTTTCGTGATTGTTCATATGTATCGTTCTTTCTTGTTTATTTATTAATTTGCTTAATTAGGAGAGCTGATCAGTTAATTCAGGAAGAAAATGATGATGTCATCCCATATTGTATAGCTATTGGAGATGTGAAGAAACTGGTTTCTTTCTTTACTTCAAGAGGTCAGCTTAAAGAGGCTCTACTTGTTGCACAGGTATTACTACATGTATACCAGTGTGGGAGATGTATTTAGCTCTTAGCTTGTAAGTCAGAATATGACATGCATATTTAAAAGGCAAAATAGCTGAATAATGATGCCCTAGTCTTTACTTCCATGTGGTATTGACCAGTTTTTATACAGAAATCATAAGAAGGAGGTACCTCATGTTTACAGATTTAAAGCCTGATTCTTCTAAACTGCAACCAAATTACCATAATGCAAACTGATGTGTTCAATTTCAATTGAAACAGAACCTGATTTTCAACAGCTGGTATTGCCCTTAACATCAGATTAATGTAGAATTTGATTTCTCTTGAATTTCTATTGAGAAATATATCTGTATGTTTTAGCTAAATAATGTACAGAATGTAACTTTGACACATGCTTAGATTGTTTTGAACTATAGTTCAAACTATTGTGTTTGAACTTGAAAGCAAATTAAAGCTCCAGAAAGATCTTAATTTTTCATGTAAGAGAGGTATTGCAGAGCTACTACAATTCATAGAATAGTCTTTGTCTCAAAGATTTAATAAGATAATAATGAGCAACAAAATGCCAGAATTTACCTTCCTTTGTAACTGAACCCTAAGGTTTAATGGTATTATCCCAACTATATCTTAAAGCATGTGAAATAATTTCAAAAAAATCACAGAATCAATTAGGTTGGAAAAGATCTCTGAGATCACTGAGTCCAACCCTTGACCAGCCACCACTTTGTCAACTGATTTAATTTTAACCCACACTGATCTCTTTGTATTTAATGTTAGAAATAAATTATTGTCAGATACAAAGAAAAGTTCACCTTAAGCCACTATATGCCAAATCTTTCCAGATTTGCTGGTATACCTGCTGAGCAGTATCTATGGACTTCATTCTTCCCTCAGAGCTTCTTGCTCCTTGGGGTGTAAAAATCAAGGTTGTAGCCTTCCCCATCCATTATATCCAAATGCTGAAGAATTCTGCACAAATGCATAGGAAGGAAGTCTCTTGCTGCAGTAAAATTGTTGTATGGCTAGATAAAACTAGGCTAAGATTTAGCTATGAATAAGTTAATTAATTTATACATTCAAATATTTTCTTTGTTTTAACTGGGCTTTGGAAAGTTTTTTTTTTTATATCTTAGATTATTTTTATTGTTATTGAAAAAATTAATTTCATCTTCAGTTTGAATTCTGCATTAATTAATCTATATTTTATTCACTTCCAGGCAGCTTGTGAAGGAAATATACAGATGTTACCACTCTCCACAACAAGTGGAACTTCAAATTCTGGTGGAAATAATACGGATGATTATAATGAGTAAGTTGTTCTAGTTTGTAACTATAAACCTCATTTTACTGCAGACTGTAAAATTATTAAAGGTGATAAAGCATGGTGGTTTAATTTGGCATCAGCAATGTAGAATTCAACAAAATATTACATCTTCTAGTACTTAGTAGAGTTACTATCTACCTGATGCTATACTAATTTCCCTCTTGTGCCTCCTGGCACAAAATGGAATTTTCATATGTGTGCATTATAATTATAAATGTCCTTTTCTCTTGCTCGATATGTAAGATGCATTCCTGTGCACTAAAATATATAGCATATTAACTGAGAACTTTTGGTGAGTAAGATTTAGCATTAACAAGTATCTGTGATCTCCTGTTAATTACACATAATCTTCTTCCGAAGCTTTGCTCTTTTTCATAATTGAAGGTTCTGATAATATAAAATAAAAATCAAACTGAGAAAGTAGGTTTAGATTAGATATTAGGAAAAAGCTCTTTACTGTGAGGCACTGTAACAGGCTGCTCAGAGAAGCTGTGGCTGCCCCATCTCTGGAAGTGTTCAAGGTCAGTTTGGATGGCGCTCTGAGTAACCCAGTCTAGGGGAAGGCATCCCTGCCCATGGCAGGGGGCTTGGAACAGAATGATCTTTAAAGTCCCTTCCAACACAAGCCATTTTATGATTCTCATTGTCCGTGCCCATTGAAAAAACCCAAATATGCACCTCTCCTTGTCTAGAACAGTGCTCAAAAACCTGAATTACATTTTCAAGTTATAGCTGTAGTAACAAAACCAGTTTGGAGCCTGTGTAGTTACTTCATTTACATGAGCAGTTTTTGAGCAATTAGAGAAGTACTAGTGCAGAATTTATAGGTACAGATTGGATATCCAAGTATTTGATTTTCCTTCTGTCAATCTGAAGAGACATTTCCTACTGATACAAACTTTGTATCAGTAGGAAACATACACCTCAGTATGCATCAACATAAGCAGTCGATGAAGCTCAAACAGATTGCATTTTTCAAACTAGTATGGTCATTGTCTGTGAGCCAAATATTGCAACTTTTAGGGTACAGAATCAAATGTAGTGAATTTTACATAAATTAAGACCCAAGGCACTCCAACCTTAATGGACCTTGTAGAATTTCACTTTTCTTCTTGCAGTCTCCTGCAGAAAGTCAGTAAAGAACTGGCAGATTGGTATTTCCAGGATGGCCATGCAGTGCTTGCAGCATGTTGTCATTTGGCTGTTGAAAATATAGAGGTAATTTTTTTTTTTTCTTTAACAATGAAAAAGCCAACATTTATTTCTTTTTCACATCTCTACACATCTTTTTAAACTTATGTATCATATTCTAAAATGGTATTTGGCATTTGATTTTTTTACACTTAGGCAGAGTTAGATAGTTATAGTATTTAAGTTAGTAGCAGAGGTCCCTTGATTCTATTAAATTCAAGGTTTCTCTCATGCACAGAAGGTAGTGTGTTGCTGCTGAATTTTATTTACAATATCTTGCTATATTAGACAATATAAGATACTTAAGTACCTTGGATATATACATCTAAGTGTTACTATTTATGGTGACCCAAAATACCCATTCAGAACTAGAAGTTATTGTGCTAAAGAAGATGCAATCATCCACCTTGAAGAATTGGCAGTCTAAATGAAGAAGTAAATAGGAAAAGAAAACCCCACCCCTCAGTACAAAAAATAGAACTGACATGTATGAAACATTTTATCATGTTTTTTATTTGCTTCTAGTTTAACAAATTGTTTCTTTTCCTCATTATATCTGGATTTTGTTGTTGATGACTTAACATGTTTTTCCTCCTCTATCCCCCCTAATAAATATAATTTCATCCCAATGAGCTATTCTGAGAGAAATTGAGAATGAATAAATTCCTATATTTCTAAATAGGCACAACAACAGATGTTGTGTAGTCTTGTAGGGTTTGACATTCTGCTGTGCCTATTGGTAACTATACTCAGTAAGAGAGTAAGAACAGGACAATCATTCCCATTTTCTGGGTTTTTGAGTCTTCTTTCATTGAAAGGGAGGGGGGAATATACACTCTGAATGCTAGTGTCCTTAAGATTAGATGGAATTCCTAGCATGCATTTCAGGTATCCTATTTATGTGATCTCTTCAGTTGAGTAAAGGAAGATTCTGCTAAAGGAAATCTATTTGGTTGTTTAAAAGCACATTAACACATGGTGCACAATTATTTACTCATTCAGGAGACCCAAAATATATAAAATTGAGTTTAATTACTGTATATTTTGTCCTTCTGTAAAAGGTATCATAAGTGAATCTCATATGCTCAACATGATGAATGCCCAAAACTGCTTCTGTCCCTTAATGATATAACTTTTTCATTGAGCAAGCTTGCGATGGCAAACCTGATTCGTGGAAATGAACTGGAGCTGGCAATCAGTGTGGGTACTGTCTTGGGAGAAAGTGCAGCACAAGCAACACATTATGCACTAGAATTACTAGCAAGAAAATGTATGGCAGTAATAACATGGTAAGAATTTCTTAATCCAAAGAAGATTTTTTTAAAATTTTCTCCCTGACAAAGCAATCAAGGTGTGTCATTGTGAAACTTTTGTAGAGATCAAGCCACCATGGGAAGGGAGAATAAAAATTGCTGTTTGAATAAGAAATGCTATATTAGACCTTTGAAGTACAGGGCATGCAAATTTCTTCTTTAATCTCAAAATATAGTCTGTATGCATTGTAAATGCAAGAGGAGTCATTGTCAGAGAATGAAACCCACTGAAAAAAACACCCTAGCTACTTGGGAAATAGGTAGCTTATGAAGTCCTAGTTTGTACTGAATGAAAAGAATTGCTTCAAAAAAAAAATAAGGCTGGAATTGAGTTTAAAAGTCAAAAGGAACAGCTCAAGTAGGGTATGTGAAGTGATTTTTAAGTACTTGATTGAAAAATATAAAACTATGAGTCTGAAGAATTATCTTCTATTGGTATTAGGAACACAAGACTCCTGCAAAGATTTAAGGATGAAACAGGATTACTATTTAATTCTGCAGAAGTAACTTCTCTCTTGCATATAGGGGAAGCCTTCTGTGGTAAAGTTTCTTCTCCTCATCATAGTGGTTTTACTTTGAAAAAATACTTGTTCTTCATGTTTTTTATCTAACACTGAAAAAGCAGAAAGCCTTTCTAAGGTGTATTTGGCAGCTGTATAACTGGTTTGTAATTAACATTCCACAAAAAATGTGTACTTAAACAGTTAAGGATCAATTTTTCTTCTACAATTAGTATTTGCTAATGTATTTAGAGGTAGTCTGAGAGAAAAATAGTGGAACTCCTCTCTACAGAACAGTTAGCTTTCATTAGACAATGAAGCATTGTGGAAAAAGATAAAATAAGAAACTGGTAACTTGCTGCTTTCATTTTGCAGTGGTTTAGCATGTCTGCATTGCACCAGTCTTAATAGGGTTGTTTTGGCAACTCCATCTGCAGCTTTTAAGGTGTCTGAAGCTCTTTCATTGTTAACAGTGATTTTTATTCAGCCTCCGATAGGAAGCACTGGATGTGGAGTTAAAAAAAAACCCCAGTGTATATTTCTTCCAGTTCCATAACAAAAGCTTGTTCTGATCTGAGGGCCATAATTACTGCTTATAATGGTATGGCATCTCTGTTTATGTCCATAAAGGTTCTGTAAACTTACAGCATGTGTACACTGAAGTCTACATGGTGATAAAGTCTGTACGTGATACAATTTTAAAGTGATGTACTGCATATTGCCCAAGTCTGGATTTCTCAATGGGTTTCACACGCTGCACTGAACACTTTGCAATCCTGGATTCTGATTTTCAGCCATTGCAGCATATTTTTTATATTCTGTAGGAAAAGATCAGAGATTCATGAATCTGTTTTGTAATAAAACAGCATAATCCCCTTGGTTAACTGCACTCATAAGATCATGTATAGAGAAGGTGGAGTTCAAGGGTCTCTGATATTTTAAGGGCTTCCTTTTTAAATTTACTGGTTGTTATGCTTAAGGATATTAGTTGGAAACATTTCACTGTAGTGAAGCACTTAATTGTGGACAGCAAAAGGAATACCAAAAGGATCCTGATGAGTTAATAAAGAGATCAGTTACTGCTGGAATGTTTCTTGGGTTTTGGTTGGTTGTTTTTAGAAATGTTGTAAAATATCAAAACAAGCAAAAAAAAATATTTAAAACTAAACATTCATGCACTTTCCCAAACCTGGAGCCTTGATAAAATGTGTGAATGTAAAGGACACATTTTTATTTGTATTTAATACCTAAATACTGTCAAAAACAACTTTCTACTATTCAAATAGCTAGTCATATTTTACCAGAGATACTGAATTCTGCATATGCAAACTGAGCCATCTCATTTTGGTCTTTATACCTGACAGTGTTTTCAGTTTGATTCTTAAAAAATCATTCCAGTTTCTTAAAATCTCCAGCTTCTTAAGAATCATTGCAGGTAGCACAATTTGTAGGCCATATTCTTCTTTGAATTCCTTTTTTTCAAATGAATATTGGATTTCAGTTTTTTGACAAGACAATTTCCAATCACTTAAAAAATGTTTAAATTGCTTATGAAGATTAGTACATATGAGTAAGTGATCTTGAAAACAGCTTAAGAACTTGTGAAATATCCTAGATTCTGAAAGAATGCTTCTGTAACTTGGAAAAGTGGCTGTTACATAGTAATAATACCACAGATTTTTTTAAGGACCTTTTGGCATGAGTTTCTTTATGTTGTCAAAAGGCATAAAATAGAAAGCTATTTTTTTGTTGTTGCTGCTGAAGTCAGTTGCCTTGACCCTTAGATTTGCTGCTGTAGTTTAATTATTTTCTATGAGATATTTTCCCTGTAAAATAATACAAAATTTTGTTCAATACTGTTTCAATGTCTTCCTTTTAGCTTCCCATCACTTGGATACAGGTATTTTGCTTTTTTGGAGAAAGTTTAAGCTTATTTTTTCCCTTAATAAAGTCACCCACTTTTCAAATTTCTCTAAGTGTCCTAATTTTTAATTGCGATTAATACTTGTAAGTGAGCTAGAAAGTAGTTGCAAATATTGGATAATAGCTTACTTGAAAATTTTTAAGCTAAGGATCACATTCTGAAAATCCAGAGGAAATCAGTAGGATTTTTTGCCTACACAGGGGCAAGTCAGTCTTGAGGTTCACAGGAGAAATGATGTCTGCATGAATAGAAGAGTCACAGAATAACTAGTTATTAAAACTTAAATAGAACTATTTCCAAATAATTTCCTAATATTATACATTCCCTTCAGCTGTTTGTTGTGGGAAGGATAGGATAACAAATGGTAAAAAGTTTAGGAAAATGCAAGAAATGTCAGTTTGCTAAAACAGTTTGCCTTTGAGAAGGATGAAAATAGGTATCTCATTTTTTTTCTCATATAATCTCTCTATGTCACGTGAGCACCAAGCCATTCAGGATGACTGAGAGATGTCCTATGTTGATGTCATGAAGCTTTAGAAGCCTGGAATTTTGAGGTTTCATGACACAGAACCGCATTATCATCTTTTCTCCTCTCAAACTGGAGAGTTCCTACTCTCCTTTCCCATCCCTGCTCACATGTTCTTCCATTTCGCTTTGAAATGGTTCTGAGGCTTAAGAATTGCACAGCTGTTTAATTCAACCAACTAAAGCAACAGAAAATTAATGACTTTCCCAATAAGACGAATAATTAAGCCTCATTTATTGAACAAAAATAGTCTTAGGTACTGAGCTTGCTTCTGCACTTCTCTGGAAATAGTATTTTTTTCAGTAAACTCTTACAAGGAATGTAAAAGAGAAAATAGCTTCCTTCTATTACAAACCATCAAGAGTAACCATATGTCATCTTTTGTTTGTGCAGGGATTTAGCAATTGATCTTCTTATGATGATCCCTGATAATAAACTGCAGTTAGTAAAACTATGTGCTTTTTATCCTGGATGCACAGCAGAAATAAATGACCTGCATGAAAAGGTACAACATAAAACAATTTACCTGAATCTAATAAGGTTTTGAATTGATTTATTTACTAATTTCAAAAAATATAAGGCTATATAAAACCATAGGATGAATTTGTCTTTACCATCTTATAGGTAACATATTCTTTTCTCCTCTATTAGTCTTTGTTGACTTGATTTTCAGTATGGTACAATAAATGTAGTTCTTCATTTCTATCCTTTAGTGCACTCTTCCCTGACACATTACTTTCTGAAGTAGCTTATCATCTTCAGAATTACTTGTCAGTACAATTTATAACCTACTAGACATGCGGCCTAATCATGTTTTGGCAGATCAACTTTCTATTGTCTGAATTTATGCCTGTAATGCCATAAATGTCCTCTTTCCTCTTCAGCAGCAGAAAGGTCTGCTTTGGTTGCTCTCCCTTAGGGTGCAACTCAGACTGCACATTTATTAAACAGTAGCAAAAACTTCACAAAAACATTAGAGGTGAAAACTGGTACTGCTTAAATTAAACTGACAGCCTTTTCCAGTGTTGCTCTGGTCTAGATGACTTTCTTAATGCGCATTATATGCAGGTATGTCTTTCAATTACTCCTTCAGAGAGAATTTTTTCTTAGTGTTGTGTGCAAACATCAGTATTTCTCTGCATTTAGAGAAGTGTTTGAACATTTCAGTAATTTTCTGGCAAAATGTTTGTTTTCCAGTGTAATCTTCCTGATGTGGAAGAATGTATGCGAATGGCAGAGACAATTCAGGCAGATGGGGATGTATTTGAAACAATAAAGTACTATCTGTTAAGCACAGAACCTGAAAAGGCTCTCCCTGTTGGCATTCAGTATGTGAAAGGTAGGTAGTTGGATGAAGAACAATTTTAGAGCAAAAGTCATCTGTATAACTATCCTCATGTGATATTTTCCTTTTTATTTTTCAACAGAACAACTTTGTGGCTCAGATTGGACTTTAGATTCAGTCTTTCCATATCTTGATCTTTTAAGTTACATACGGACTGAACAGTTAATGTTGCCTAAGTGTAGTGAGTGAGTATATTTTCCTGACTTAGAAAAGTGGAACTTTCCTTAAAGGAGGGACACAAAAAAAATTTTAGCAAGCATGCTGGAACTGTTTCCAGTCTGGAGAATAGAATGTGGACTCTCCCAATTTATGAAGGTTTAGCAAGAGAAAAAAAAAAAAAGATGTTTTACTGCTTCTTTCTCTGTGGAGTATTTACAATGTGTGAATCAGTATTGATCTTATGTGAAGAGCTTTACTTTGATCAGCTTTGGTTTCAGTTTGCTGAAGTGATATCACAAATCATGTGGGCTTTTATGTCAAAGTGTTAAGGAATGTTGGGCTGTCACTCTCAGAATTAACTCTAAAATCATTGGATAGATCTGGTTCACCTTTATGATGAATGGTTGCAGTTAGGCCTAGGTGCCTACGCAAGTATACGTCTGAAGAACAAAAAGGAGAAAAGAGTTGGGGAAGCTTGGTGAAACTGAAATTTACACTAATATTTGGGGCAGTTTTATTTACATTTAGAGTTCTATCACATTAAAAGGTCTGAGTGATGTTGTTTGTGTAACTGCTTAATTGTGCTTAAAAATTGTACTGTATATGCCATTTAAAATTGAATAATGGAAATCAATATGAAGCAGATGGAGTCTGTTTTAACAAGTCCATGACATGGAAAGTAAGCATAATCAGTGAACATATATTCTCCACAAAAGGTGGATGGATAAATTAGGTTTTAAAATTATAACATGAATATGAGTTTGTTTAATGTTTTTCCAAATGCTTGTTTTTCATGATTGATACTTGTTCATTTATAGGTTTCGGAATGAGTTGCTGATTTTGTGTGGTTATGTTGGTGCTTTACTTGCTATCAGAAGACAGTACAACAGCATTGTACCCGCACTGTATGAGTATACAAGGTAAACTGTGTTTTCATTAACTCTGGGTAATCTCAGTCCTTATTATGACATTTGCCATACATTGAGCCTACTTCTCATCACATCCCAAAAAATGAAAACGTGTCTTTCCTCTTAGCTATCTTCATGTCTGAAACTTGGTGAGAGGATTGGGAAAAAGGAACATTTGTTTGTTGGTTTGGTTTTTTTTTATTTTCTGAATCTAAAGCAAAAACAAGATTAAGTATCTTTTATAGAAAGGCTTTTCTGATATGGCTGTTATTAGACTAGTAACAAGCAGTTTTTGAGGCTCAGTTTGTGATACTTTTGGCTGTAAGGCTTTCAATTACTTAGTATATAAAGAACCACAGAACAATACTACTCAAAGTTTCATTCTTGGATTGCCCAATATCTTCAAGACTCACAGATTTTTAGTTTCTGGCCCATCTTAAACTGGACACTTACCTGCTTAAGGTGGACAATTTACATGGTTAAGCAGGACATTTTTAAGATACACCAACACAAATGAAAGACAGCAGAATTAGGTCAGGTATTAACTGTCCCCTATATTATATTTTGAGAAATAAAAAATGCATCCACTGCAAGGGCTTTGAAACTGCTTTCTGCAGGTGAAACAAGGTTGTCCCAATGTATGTGTTGAACCATGTTTCTCTAATTGCATTTTTACCATATGTGGTACCTGCAGGCAAAATGGATCCTTAATTTTAGTAAGGTTGACAATATTAAGAAATAAAAACACATATAGCCTTGAAATATAGAGGGGCCTTAAGTTAAAAAATACAGCAAATTAAATAAGGTGTAAATAGGGATAATTAAAATAAAATTTAAATCTAAAGCCATACTTCTATAACTTCACAGAATCACAGAATAATGAGGTTGGAAGAGACCTCTAAGATCATCGAGTCCAACCTATGTCCTAACACCTGTGTGATTCTGTGATTCTATGAACTTGTATGAGTATTACTGAAGTCTAATATAGTGTGTATTGTGAAGGATCAATTTATTTCCATAGTTATTCCATATCCAATCAGAAATAGTTTTACTTTACTACTGTCTATCATGTTTTGCTTTTAAGAAAATAGTCATTATTAGGATTAATTAGGATTTTAATTACTTGCATTCCTTTTCAGTCAGCTTTTAAAAAGACGGGATGTATCTGTACCTTTGAAAATTGAACACCTTTCTGAGGAATTAGATGCATGGAGAGCTTGCACACAATCAAACAAGTAGGTGGAAAAATATAAAATTACCATGAGTGAGACTAGTAGTATTTAACTGTTTAGTTGTTCCCTTTGTAAAGTCTGAATGTAACTGCTTTGCAGGTCCTAATTTCTAACACAAATTAGGAAGCCAAGTTGAAAACCAAATTTCTTTTATGTTCCTAGGCCTACAGATGAGTTGCCATGCACCCCGCCCTCCGAATCGCAGAGAGCGTTGTATTCAGTACTCGTCTCGCGAATTCAGGGGGAGCCTCTGAAAGGAATGGTTGGGCCAGACTGTGTCACTGGATCAAATCTTCCCAGTCACTCAGATGTTCATATCTCTTGTTTGACAGGGCTAAAGATCCAGGTATGGTTTCAGAGAGCTAAAGTGGTCTTTCTTGCTGATAGCACTGACTACTAGTGAGGTTGCCATAAATCAAAGGTCCCTCCCACCATTTAGCTGGAAAAAGGTTTACCCTGTTATCACAGGAGCAGAGTTAAAACTGACAGACAGTGACATCTGCTATATAAGAAAGGCTGTATAGAGAATTGTCCAATCAAATAGTTGTCATTTCCCAAATCCACAACCTTTTAATTTACATAGGAAATATTTCCTTTGCCAAATGTTGTGTCTAAAATGCATGTATCTTACTGGCTACTCCCTCACCACAGCTTGAATAAAAGCCAGGAAATTGTCTTTAACCACATACTAACATTCTTCTGATTTTGGTTTTTATTACTATGGAAATGCATACTATAAAACTTGGAATTCATAACTAATTAAAATCAGACATTAGAAGACTAAATATTCAAATATATTTATTTATCACTCACACTGAGTTTTATGATTAATACTCATTAGTCCTTATAACACTTCTGTAGCATATCTTGTTATTTTAATAAAGAGCAAATGGAAAGATCCTGAACACACTACTCCTGACTCCAGACAATGCCTCAGTGTGAATTTACTTTCCTAGGTGATACTGAATCTGTTTCCTCTGTCCAGTGTTAGATGTCAGCCCAAAGAGTAACAGGGGGGCTTAGGCACTAAGCGGGATGGATAATTTTCTGAAAAAAATTAGAGTTTACAAAATGATAGTGGGATTTTTGAGGTAAAAAAATGTCTCAACTGCTCACCATCAATCTAAAAAAAATTGCTCTCAGCACTTCCGGATTAGATCAGTGGTCTCTGTCTATGGCTGTACTCAACATTGCTAACAGCTATGCAAAGCTGCCAATGTTACAGTCCATTCAACAACAATAGCAAATATGGTCTCACCAGCTTGTCATTTACAGGTTCCTTATTTCTGGATTAGCATACATTAGGAGTCATGGTTTGGGGCATGCAGGTCAGCTCAACAATCAAAATCAGTTAACACTAAAGCAGGGCAGCCTACTTGTATGGGTTTACAAGGTTTACGTAGCAAGTTTGGAGAGCATAACTCTTTCAGAAAGGGCTGAAATGGAACTGCAGCTTTGAGAGCAGGTTTTGTCAAATTAATAAATTAGCAAATAGCTCTTTTTCTGTCATATGAATGAGTACTTTGTCCTTTTCATAGTGAATAGTTAAAATTATTCTGTAGACGCTTGTTTTCAAACAATTCATGGAGACATTATATTGGGGGGTATTTTGTGGATGGGAAAAAGCAGAAATCAGCAGAAATAATAATCATGACCATCATGAAATATAGACAGTATTCTGAAGGAAAATGCTTGTTTCCTCAGTTTCTAATTCAAGCTACATTAAAGTCTGGAATAATTAACAAGCATATATAAAATAACAATAAAACACATCAAACAAAAAATTTAAATATTATGAAAGGTTGGGTTGGCAGATTTGGGAACATAAGTGCCCTCAATTCATGATGTGTAGCTGTTATCAGAGTTTTAAGTGAGCGGGGAAAAATTTCTGTATGGATATAGTGGATAGGTCTAAACAAGGTTTTTATGTTCTTCTAACTATGCTTTTTGTTGTGGCCTTTACACAATCCATGTATAATTTCTTTTTCTTTTCCCTCCCAAACATTTTTGCTTTACAGGGTCCTGTGTTCTTCCTTGAAGATGGAAAATCTGCTATTTCACTGAATGATGCTTTGATGTGGGCCAAAGTGAATCCTTTTTCACCATTAGGAACAGGAATACGACTTAACCCATTTTGATGAGGTGTTTCCTCTGTACTTTACAGTGCTTAAAATAACACTCTGGGAGTCAATGCTGATTTAACCTTGATTGCCAAAGGATGGAGAGGTCAATTACTTGAACTTTGAAAATTTTAAAATGAGAAGAAAAGGATTTCTATACAAATGTTTGTTCAGGATCCAAAGAAAAAAAATATTTGATAATCCAAAGAAAAAGTCCTAATTTCATATATAGCCATGTCATTTTTTTTAGTAGGAATATTGTTTTCAGACAATTATTTTTGTCAACTCTGTGTGAATAGATGCTTTGTAAAGTAAGCAACTATCTACATATTACTAAAATATTGATAATAAACTGTGAAACCCATAAATACTCTTCCAAATATATAATCATAGAATAACTTTATTGACAGCAACTCCAAACTTTTTTAGAATGACTGGAATATTTTGGCTGTTTCACACTGTTCCCCTTTTTAATTTGAACTAATTTTGACACACAGGGTTGTATAGCAAAAGTAAAATTTAAAGAGTAGGTGTTTTTTTCATCCACTTGTTATTGTGCTTTAATAGCAGTACAAATAGAAGGTCACTTATGTTTTATTTAGATTATCTACATTTTGTTTAGGTTTTCTATTTTTTATTTATTTGTTTAGATTATCTAGATTACAAAATTGTATTTTCTAATAGAATCATATTTGGCAGCATTCCCTGTTATACTTTCACCGGAGGCTAAAACTCTTTATAAATTTTTTTTTTGGTTTTTTTTTAACAAAGTCTTTGTATAGAATAAACAGCGTATTTATTGAAGTTATTTAACTATGCTATGTACATTTTAAAAGCTTGTTTTCTCTTTACATTTTGTATTAGTTATAATATGACAGCAGTAAGTATTTGTGCATATATATTTTTATTTACTATATCTGCGCTGAAATGGAAAAAGTTATGGCAATAGAATACTAAAACTATTTAAAGCTGTGTATAGTATGGAATTTAATTATAAGGCAAATATTATTCTTGTTAATAATTCTTATAATCAGAATTGCTCACCTTTAGAAAAGATGCCTTGGTTGCAATACTTTTTATTAGTTTAATGGATGGTACATAGGCAGAAATTTACTTTATCTGTTCTTACATTTTTTTGCTTGTACTTTAAAATAATTTTTGAAATTTATTTAAATTCCTGATAGTTACATGAAATATAAAGAGGTTACAATTAAAAATTGGCAGAATTATAACAACTGTTGTAAAACTGGAAATAGTATTGGGTCTCTATTTAGTAGATCCTATCAAAAAAGCCTCAATTTAGAGATAAGCCTTGCCCTTATTTAACTATAGAAATAACAATGCCACCATGCTGGAAAGGTGGGATGGAGATTAGAAGTAAAAGAAAATCCTGGGTTGGTTTTTTCCACTCTGTCTTTAAAATAGTAAAATTTCCCTCTGGTGATGTTCTAGAGTATTATTACAGGGTTTCTGGTGTAAGGTTGTATTGGGCGGAGGGAACACAACTGTTTTGTACCCTAAAAACCCCATTTTTGTACATACTTAGGTGCTGGAACTGAATATTTTGCTTCCTGCAAGTATTCTTTGAAAATGTTTTCCCTTTATTTATTCCATGAAGCTTGGAGAAGAAGAATTTGATTTCAGAAGTTAAAATTCATAATTTTTGAAAGAATTTTCCATCAGCCAGTATCTGATCTTGCTTCTGTCAAATGAAAGACTATCTGTCTGTTAGCACATAAATCTTACAACCTGGTATGTAAAAATTCTTGATAGAGAGGTGGAGAGCAAACATGAGAACTGAACATGCAGCCCCATGACTGAGGATTGGGATCAGAAGTATTGACTCAACTGCCATTCTACTGTATTTAAAATCTTTTGTTGTATCATAATGATATTTCATTAATATTTCACAATTAAAATATATTGAATATGTAGTATAACTGCATCAGCGTGTTGCACATAAATTGTGCCTTAACATGGAATCTTGGGCAAATCTACTCCCTCTAAATTACAGAGTGAGGGTTAAAAATTAATTCCTTACTAAAATACAAAAATTAAGTCAAAGGGCATTTTTTATATTGGGGATCCATCAGGAAACAGTCATTGTGAATTACATGAGGTTGCATTTTCCTTGAAGTTGTTTGTACAGTGGTGAGTGAGGGGAATATGCAGAAAAGGTTGTAATTGTGTCTGCTGTTACAGCTGTGGTTGCAACTGTCAACTGGTTCATCAGTTTCAAAAATAATTTCAGATTGTTTGCAAATGTGTAGCTTCATTGTCTAGTATATCAAGTCAAATACAGATATCTCCCCCTTAATATTAAAGAATACTTTGTCTTCAAAAGACCATTTGACTCCTCTGTAAAAGTCATATTTCCATTTAAATGACAAAACATACGAAGCTACACAGCTAGTGCTTTCCAATTGCTATTAATTCTCAGTTATGTTCAATATCCCTTCAAAACCAAATCCATTGTTTTTTGGAAATAATCTGTCCAAGAGTACTGACATGTTTATAAGCTTCAGAGACAGCTCCACTGGCAACTGCAGTTTGAGATAGGAGATGTGGCACTTTAAACCCATGTTGTGGGCTGGAATGATGCCCTGTGTGTTCCACGCTGCGCAGGGCTCCCGCCAGGCTGGGCCAGTGATGCTGCACTGGCCATGGCCACAGCCGGGCGGCCCCGCAGCCCCAGGAGAAGCACAGGGAGAACCTTGTACTCCACGTGCTTTCTCACCCACCAGTGCAGTGCCTCCTGTGGGTCTCTGCAATACTTTCAGCAAGCCTACAGGCTTTCACTGTTGGATTTCTTTCCAGAACTGACACATCACACTGCTTTTTCTTTTTTCCTGGCAATGCCTTAGAACACTTTTTAACTGGTTAATAAGAACTTCATTGTAATAGGACACTTAAACAGTGCTCTGACCTGGGATACTGTTTGCTTCAGATCCTGGTTCCTAATGTTTTAATACATAATTTAACATTTATTTGATACTAAGAATTCAACCCATCAAAGCCACATTGAATAGGGCCCTGACATCATGAGAACAGTAACAAAACTGTAATTTCTGGCTAAACAAGGGATCATTTTTGGAAGGGATTTTACCAAGTACTAACACCAGGTATTTCATTGCCCTGCATTTTTGGTATGTGGCAGTAACATGCTCTGATCTGCCAGAGACCTGTCCCAGTGTGTAGTCCTGCCAGGCCAACCACGTCCATTCCCTCTTTTGTTTGTCCCTGTCACATAGTAACAGAAGCAATGCCCAATTCAACTTGGCTCAGCTTGCCAAAATGAACTCAATTTTCACAAATATCTGTTAGCAAAAGGTGGAAATTTATGTTGAAAAGTGCCTCTTGCCTGAGATGGAAATAATGGTATTACCACAAGCCAGTTTCTTCTGACTAGTTTCCTATTCTGTGTATAATTACACAAAAAAATAGTACCAAATACCTGTAAACTACAAATATGGTCTTTGGTTGGTGGCAGGGATCAGGGAGAACGGTGGGAATGGATATTGCAAATGCCACAAGAGTAGGAACACACCTATTTGCAACGAGATGGCCTGGACCCTGGTGTGACCCTCAGCAAAACTTTTATCTAGTTGTGTTACAAACAGGTGTTTTGCAGAGTAGCCATGTTTGCTCCAATCTGATATAGGTGTATAGAACATAGAGCTTTTTTTGCCACTTTGTCTGAATCAAACTTGAAAAGTGATGTGTACACCTGAAGGTGAGGCTCTAAATGAGCTCATTCTATGTGGAGAAGCTCAACAGTGCTGTGGTTGGATTGGCACTTCAAAGTTAGGTTCTTTGTCAGAGTAATACACAGTAATGGTGCTGTGCCTAAAACTACAAATTGCTACTTTCTGGATGAAAATAAAAACCCACTACACTCACCCCAATATAGACTCAGGATATGATGGACTTCTAAGCAGCTCCTCATATTTGCATTTGACTTTCCTTTACAAGGACTCCAGAAAAGCCTCCTAACTAGAGTTTTTGCAGGGAACAGAAGCAAATTAAGGTTATTTAACAGTGTCAAGACAGCTACATTTTTTTATTAGGAGCACATTATTTAGCAACTGAGTAAGCATTCCTCTTTATGAAACCTTCCTCTATAGTTAGTTCCTCACTTATCATCTTTCCAGTAGAAACATAAATACTGAAAAGAGTCACTGAAAAGGAATGGAAGAGGGTGAATCACCAAGGGCAGATGACAAGTTTTTAGGTGTCCCAAGCTTTGGTTTGCAGGAACTGTATCAGTCACTGAGAAAGTAATCTGTTCTCAAAGAAACAGCAAATGAGAAGAGGGAAAGGAGGAGTGCTGTGCTTTAATCTATTCAGATCACAATCATCAAAAATTCAAGGGCATAAGCAAAGCCTCAGGGTTTTCTAATGTCTCTTGGGGGTGTCACCATTCTATCTCTGGCTAGAGTTGAACAATACCTTTTCACAGAAAAGCCTGTTGGAGTATTCTGGGAATTTGCAACAGGATTTTTGGAGCTGGATAAATGTTTACAAAACAGGTAGTAAGAGAAATAATGTCCTTTCACGAGCTGTACCCATCCTGATAAAAAACGGACATTTTTGAAAACTTGTATTCACCTCCTGAACTCGAGCTTGAATACCTCCACTATATGCCTTCAGAAACCTCACAGACACTACATATTATATGCATTATATGCCTTTCTCTGAGGCAAATAATTACTTAATATGCCCATTAAATGCCTGTGATACAGCAGTGTTATGAAAAGATAAGGGAAGTGCCCACAAAATTGTTTTATGTATTAATTATCTACATATATATTGTCTACAAACAGAAAAATAATTTATGTTTAATTGTTTTATTTTTATCAATGCATATAGTGCACCCATCACCAAGTATTTTTAGGTACACACACAACAGATATTTGAAAATACATAAAATATTGACTCCAAAATGGACAAACTTAACAAATAATAATAAAGAAACCCTTTGTGGTTCAGTTGTGTCAAACAGATTTTAAAAACATAAACACAATTAAAGTTAACAGCACTAAAGCTATAAAGGATTAAGATAAAGTTATACAATCATGTCCCAGAGTATCAGCACACTTACTCAATTCAGCTGGATTAGCACCTTGGCACTAGTTGCTGAATGGCTCCCAATTGCTATTACATTACCAACACCAGGTGTCAAAGATACCATTTTTTTAAGCAATATGCAAAAGGCTTTTTTTTTTTCCGCCCAGCAGTTCTTTAGATAAAACATACAATAAACAGAGAGGAAAAAAAAAATGTACTTGCTATATTTAAGTTTCTAACAATTAATTACTATGTTATCTATACTGTAAGAAATTCTTAAGTATTGTTGGCAACTGGAGTTGTGGAACAAGATGCAGTCTAGCTCTTCCTATGTAATTTCGGATACATAGTCGGCAGAGCTGACAAAGAGAAGATGGTGTGGCTGCAAACAATAAAGAAAATAGTTTAACTGTACAACTATAAAAGCCAGCACTTTGTTTTACAACAGTCTTGCACAATAATAGGATTTCTAAAAAAACAAAGTTCACATTTTGCAAATTTGACATTTTTCTTCATTCTGTTTCCTTCATTGCCTTTCTGCCCTCAAAGATAAAGACTGGGACTGCTTAAACCTTAATAATAGTTAGGGAAATACTAAAGAAAGCAAGACAAGGTCAGTTTTTTTAAATTAAAAACCAGCTCCCAGAAAATATCTGATGTCAATAACTTTAAAATTTTTAGACTTCTTATTTTGGGATTTTTTTATTTATACACAGGTTATATACCTGCTACAGCACTACCGATGCATCACTGCAACAAGAACAAGCAGGCAAAATACCCTAAGATCCTGGACCATATTTAGTGGTCTTACTAGTTAATCATGATGTATTTATCACTCTGCCCCCCGCTCATTCAAAGTGCTATTTTCTGTGGACAATAAACCTGTATCTGTTCCATGCCATGTAATTTTTTTTCTTTGCTCTAACTTTTAAAAACACTACTAACCTTACTAAATTTGTGAACACATACAGTTTTTAGAGGGGTTTTGTTAGTAGCATTCAGACTACAGGGTGGTTTTTCTGGAGGTAAACATGAATCAGTGTTACTTGTCAGTTCACCTCCAAAGAGATGCCCATGGTTATTGAAATAGTTTCATTCTCTTGTGGCTTATTTTTATATTATATATAGTTCAGTCTGAACAAGTCCAGTTCCCTCTGGAATATTCTCTCTCTCCAAAGCAGATAGACCTTTAAGAGGTTTGAGAAACTATAGACTCTTTAGTCTCCTGTTTCTCAGGTTTTTAAAATTTTGTAAAGAAAATTTAGAAAATTAAACTTCTTATGCTTTTTGCCCACAATCAAAATTTGCTTTATATGCACATAAAATACATATTCAAAAATATTATGACAGCTGACCAAAATGAAGTATATATTTAACCAGAAATTTAAATACACTGTTTCTTTTTAACAAGGTCTGTAAAAACCAATAAAAACGTAGCTTTAATGTCTACTTAGGTAAACACCCAATAAACATATGACAGTACTTTTTCAGCTTGTATAAATTCTGATGCTGCTTGGCCAGTGGGCTCTGGCCTGAGACTAAATATTGCAGAGCATGTTTATAGTTAGAAAGAAAATTACCTGAATGCTCATATATTAATTTCATACAGCACAGTGTTACCTTCTATAACATGGGTTGTTTGGACTGTTAAATTGGGCGCTTTTCTAGGTGGGTTTGCTTTTTTTAATAATACAAGTTGCAGTTTCAAATATAAACATCTAAAACTTACCTTCATGGAAGAGCAGCAGTCTCTCCACTAAACTGCTTGGGGCAGCTAAATCAACAGGCCTCTCAAAATCTGAATTTTTGGCATTTATGTCTGCCCCAAATTCAAGGAGTAAGTTTACAATCTCTGTACTAGAATGCTGGGCAGCAGCATGGAGTGGAGTTTGCAAATGCTTTCCTTTCTGCACGTTGGCACCTGGTGGGTAGATGCGCGTAAAGAGACAGAAGAAGGGATTAATTAAATTTGCCATCGAGTAAGAAAGATAAGGCTACAAAACAAACAAAAACCACCACCGGCCTGGAATGCCACAGTGCATTTAGCCACTTTATTATTTTATTGCATAAAAATATAACTGATCACATCAGTGTTTTGTTTGAGTTTTGGTTTTTTATCCTAGGTTTTATTATCCAAGTACGACCAGATAAAAAGGTATTAGGTAACCAATCAGGTAACATGAGCATCACAGTTGCCTAATTATAAAAAGCACTTTTTGTTCATATTTAAGGAAATTTACACTACATAAAAAACATACTTTCCTTAAGTCTTAAAAAAATCACTAAACTGAAGTTTTGTATGTATATTCTTGTGAGTACACCAACTCCAGAAAGAATCTTGAATGCCTTACAATTTTTCACATGTTAAAGGAAAGAGTTTGAAATAGAGCTGGAAAAGAGTTTGAAATAGACTCCCATCACATCCAACCTTTATTTATTAATTTATAAATTAGTTTTAATTTTAATTAAGGTGAGATACACAGTCAAAAAAGCTAATAGCGGAAAAAAAAACCCAAACCATTAATTCTCCCAATCCATGGGTTCTAATCATTACACTTTTATATTAATAGGTAATTTTTAATATGTTTTAAATTCAAATGGACTAAATTAATTTGCAATAATGCGTTCATATTCAAGAAAAAAATCCATACAAGGGTTAAACTAAACTAGCTAGTATGGAATAGTCTCTCTTACACAGGGAAGCTGTTGGTTCATCTAAAACCCAGCCTTCTTCAGAATTCTTACTGACCTTGTGAGACCAAAAATTGCCTTCTGCTCCAACTTTACTCCCTGAATCAACACTTTTTGCATTTTAAATGTCCATTTGACTAAAATAATAATGTCACAGCTCTAGAAATTGGATCTGAAATCTGAATAATTCACTGTTCTTAATTTTAACAATTGGAGCATGCTTCTGCATTCTCTTGCTTATTGTCTATCTGCCTTTCAACTTCTAATACATTCTCACAAACTGATAAAACATGAAAAAATTTAATTTACGTAAGTAGCTACTTATATTCTCAATTTACATACTCTTTTCTACTTCAGGGCACCAACAAATGTCTGTTTTTTTCTGTATGGTAGTATTTGAATTCCAAAGTATGCTAATTATACTTCTGCTGTTCTTAAACATAAAAAATCATGACACAGGATAATTAATCATCCAAGGAGATGGACTCAATGAGAAATACTTTAACTGCTTGTTTAAGTTCTAAATATAGCACACAATCAACTAGAAAAACTATCCTGGTGCAATGATAGCAAGGCTGAATTATTCATGTATACATTTAAATACTTGTTCTGCGGATGCAAAAGCCCTGTGTGTAAATACCTGAAATGCAGCAAATTATCTTTCAGCTATGCCAATTGTGTCCCCGGACTTGTGCTGAAACAGAGACAGCCTTCAACATCTCTTACCCACTGATTAACTAAATAATCTGAAATTTAGGGTGTGATGCCTTTTACCTCACCCCTTCCCTCTGCAACTCAGCCTCTATGCCTCATGCAAAGATCAGTCAGAACTTGCTGAAGAATGAAAGCGAGTGGGGCTTCATTGCTAAAGTAGTTTGAAATCTCAGTGATTACTATATGAAATTTCTCAAAGCTCATTTTTTACCTTTGTTTTTCCTACAGAATATTAATATCTACAAAACTGCACTATGTGCTGAAAATTTTGAACATTTTCTTACTGGTCTTGCTTCCTTTTTTCCTTTCCTACTTACTACGGCATCAAAAGAAAAAAAAAGTAAGTTATAAGAAAACATGACTCAGCATAAACTTTGAAGTAGAGCCCTGCAAGCAAGAGTTCCAGTTCAATTGGCTGAGCACAGCTGACTCCAAAGGCGAATACAATATGCTTATTTTACAGACCGGTAATATTTTTATTAAATCATGACATACCTGCATAAAGAAGCTTTCGAATGCAATGGATCTGCTGTGAAACACAAGCTACATACAGAGGTGTTCCTAAGTGAGGAAGATCTTGGTCAACATCTATACCCCAGGATATCAGTACCTCCAGGCATTCACTGTGACCTGTCAGTACAAAGCATGACAGTTTGATCGACTTCAGTACGCTGTCTCATGGACAAACACATTTCTGAGACATTGCTCAGCTGCTCCATGTTTATTGAGGAGCTGATTTCTTACCTCTGCTGGCTGCTTCATGTGTTGGTGAGGGCAGACACGACTCCCACTGAGCTTTGGCACCGTATTGTAACAGCAGCTCAGCACATGCTGCACTGCCTCTCGAACAGGCATTAAATAAAGGTGTCACTCCATCAATTGTTGTAGCATTTACCTAGAATATATAAAATCTGTTTACAAAAAGAATGAAAAACAAGGTAGATTTTTAAACAGGAAATAGTTAGAAATGGCATTAAAAAAAATACTAATTAAAATAACAAGTTAACTGACCAGTCTCTGTGAAACTGTCTTCCTCTTACCATGCTTCTCAGCTGGAATTAGTTTACTATTATTCTTGTTAAAGTATGTTGGATAAATACACCTGGAATACTAAAGAGCATATATTGACATCTGGGCAGTAAATAATTTTCAAAAGTCATTGCAATGAGCTTGTTTCAATGATACAGAAAATTTACACTTTGCATACTAACAGGATGAAGGGATCTTCTCTCTACAGCTCTAGCAGGAATTGAGGATTATTTGCCATTTTCTTCTGTTGTTTTAGTCTCCAGGTTCAAGTGATACTTCACAGGATGGAGACAAAGCTGATAGCATAGGCTCACTGCTTTAATACCAACCTCACTCTTCAACTGAATATTTCCAGTGTGAGAGAGTAAGGAGACAAAGTAGGCAACTTTGTGAGGCCTAATAATACTAAAGGGAGGAACACAGCTATGAGGAGAAGGCTCCTTCCTCTGCCCAATCTCCTTCTATTCACCCCCCAAACCCAACAAAACAATTAAGACTAATAAAAATAAACCAGGTGGGAAAAATAATTATTTTTCTTACACTTTTGTATTTTTAGACTCCTTGTGTTAGCTGAAGTAGGGAGAAATTTGCTTTCAAAATATCTATGTATCTTTTTTTCTTTTTCTATAGTAACACATATGTATTCCACATGGTTCTGAAAACTGAATTTTAAGAACAATAAATATTTCTATTTCAAAGATCAGAGACTTGGGAAGCTAGGCACTTGAACTCTGATGTCAGCAGACATTTCACTGAAAGTGACCTGTAAGGTCCCATTTTCATTTTGGGATAAAAGATGAGACAGCCTGTGTCAGGAGTACAGAAAAGAGACTCTGTTTTTTTCTACTCATACCATAAAATTTTAAAAGCACACAAGTGTAGTGAGACAGCAGACATTCTGAAGATTAAAAAAACAGTCTTCTGAAAGCCACTCGAAGCAAGAAGATCCCAAAAAAGTAGAATAATGTGTTCCATATTTTTGAAGAGAAATATAATAATAAATACTGCTAACAGATTCACTCAAACTCATTACTGTCCCCGTGGCTGCCCATCACTCTCATTTGCTAGCATTCAGATGGCAGCTGTAATTACATGAGATGAACATAGCCAATAGGGTAAGTAGAGACCAATTACATTAAAATCAAGGAATAGATCCTTCTCAGTTAAGCCAAGGTTAAAACTGGACTTCATATAAAAGAAAACAAAACCAAAGCCTTACATTCGCTCCTGCTTCAAGGAGGATTCTTGCACATCCTACATGGTCTCCCAGGCAGGCTTCATGGAGTGGAGTCACTTGGTCAATTGTCAGTGTGTCTACATTGTACCCCTAAAATAGATGTGAATGGTATTTAAATATCATACAAAACCTATTAAGAGTTGTTTCCTCACATTACTGTTCAAATTAATAGTTTACAATACTCTAAATAGGCTTAAAACTCAACTTGCAATAAATTAATCCTCAGTGAGCATTTATTTTTAATCAGAAATAGGCATAAAATATGCAGACTGTTTAGATGCACAGTGACAGGGCAAAAGACAACAGACCCAAGTCAGAACACGGTGAATTCCAAGTAGCTATGTGGAAAAAAATTGAACTGGGGGACAGTGAGACCCTAAAACAGATGAGAGAAAGGGTGGTGCATCTCCAGTCTTGATAATCTTTAAAACCCTCTAAACTCTCCTATGATTCTACCAACCTGTGACTTAAGGGCTGAAATATCCAAAGCTATGAATTTTAGCAAATAAAACACTTACTGCTTTGATAAAATCACCAAGTCCTCTAATTTTTTTTAAGTAGATGTTGTTTGATTCTTAAGAAATAACCATTTTATCTACCTGCTTTCATCAAATGTATTCTATAGTATAATTATTCAATATTGAAACAGCTAATAGGACAATATTGTAATATAAAAATTTAGCATTTAGTCCCTCCCTTTGATATTAGCAATTTTTAAAAAATGACAACAGTGCAAAATCCAGAATCTTTAAGCGATTCTTGCTGTTAACTAGTATCTTCCTGACTAGCTCTATTTACCCAAAGGCTTAAAGCAATGAAACTGCTTTATATTGATTTATATCATGCAAGAGGGGAAGACTGACATAAATGTAGACACAATTTTGGTTTTTGTTTTGTTTTGTTTGTTTTGTGGGGGAACAGGAATTAAAACATACAGAGGAAATATTTTAAATACTAGCTTATATCTTATAATATGAAACATTCCTAAATATGTATTTCTCTGAAAAATTCAAGTGAAAAAAAGCAAAACAAAGCATACTAAATCTGCATTGATAATCTATGCTGAGAAATTAAATAACATTAAAAATGAAAGCAATTGTAAAAACAGAGCCTTCACCTGTGACAATAAAGTCTTCAGAGAAAGAAGACGTCCTTGACTGGCTGCCTCATGCAGAGGTGAGCGATCTGCCCAAGAACCTATATAATAACAACATTTATTGAATAAGCCATATGAATTAGAAAGGGTTTGGAATGCACAGAAAAAAACAGAAAATATGATGCACAGAATGAAGTCAAATATCCTATGAAATTAATTCTTCCTCTTTAGGGACTCAAATGATCGGTTCCTAAACAGTAACAAAATTGCTCTATTATTAATTGTAAATATCTCTAATAAATCATTATGTGGTCCACAGAACAAAACATTGAGATATTGATATCAGTAATCTATTTAATAAATTCATTAATTACCATATTCCACTTCTATTTTTGCATTGTTCATTTTTAATACACATAATAAAACTTTGTAGCTGGCATATAGGCATTATTTGAACTTAAACCAGATGTAAAGCTGTCTGAAGAAGTCACAAAGAAGCCGGTTTATATGAAAAGCAATGTGGGTATCTTTATGTCTGGTGAGATTAGTTTGAAGCTACTACACAAGTACAAGGAGAGAAATGCAGTGAGAATCACAGTAAAAATTTACTATAATAGAAATAAGATATAAAGTCTAAATTCTCATTCCATAAACTAATAGGCTTGAAAATAATTAGATATGCTTACAGTAAAGGTTTGGCCTTTATTTTAATTTATTTATCACCCTCAAAAGAGAAAGGTGAAAAAAACCAGTAACCCAACAACAACCCTGCGTTCACACACATAACCCTCCATAGCTCCCAGCCCAGCTTGCAGAGCCATCCTGAAGCTCTTGCTGAAGGACCTGCCCTTTCCTCTGCAAGCCTGCACACTGACACGTCCCTTCTAGCCAGCCAAGGCTGCAGGCAGAGCTGATACTGATTCATGACACGAATTTTGAAAATTCAGTTTTAAGAGGCTATGCAAGGAAGAAACATCTTCAAAATGTATTATGAATTATCAGTATTTATTCCTCTAAGAACAAAATCACTAGAACTTTAAGATACTAATACAATCACTTGTGTGAGTTATATCAAGCTGCCTAAAATTCCTGAAGAGAGAATTAGCCCAGAACAATGAATTGGTACCATTGGCAGATGACTCTTCCAGGTGTGCAGGTTTGACTCTGCCATGGACAGGGACTGCCTACAGAGCCAGCCACTGCATTTACTGGCAAAGCAATGAGTCTGAAATGCAAAGGCTGTTGCTCAATCACTGGCAGTCACCAGCCTAAGCTCTAAGATAACTACACACCAGAAATAGACCTTGTTTCTGTTTCCTACTGACTCCTTCTGTCCACTAGCCTACTTCAGAAAGTACACTTCTGTTTACTATATACAACCCCCTCAAATCACATCAAGAATGACGAAAATATCAAGGCTGAAAAGAAATCAGGGCCCAGTTAAAAACATGAAATAGTGCACAATAGGAAATTGTAGATAAAACCTCCATTTTCCTACTGGTGTTAGTGAATGAGACTAAAACTTACACAGAAGTATGACTGCATCTCGGAGAACATAGTGCACTTTGTGACTCAGCACTACTGAATACTACTGAGATCAAAAACTTGGCAAAACAAAAGCACAGATGATTATTGAAATTATCATAAGGCTACATAAAGCTGATAACAGAAGTTTAAAAATATGACACTAAGGTTTTATAAAAATAAAATAAAAAATGCAGTATTTCTATCATGTCAGAGTATCCTGTATGTGTGAAGATCCTTGAACTCTTTCATCTATAGCAGTATATGGACTATTGGCAAGAACCAGCTTCCAATCCTCTGTCAGAATTATTTGCACAAAGCTCTGGTCATCTGTGTGTGCATGTACATAGACAAGCACACACATTACTGCCTGTACTTTTTACTTCAGGTTTATTTAATGTAATGTTCTAAAATTCTTATTGATAGTCCAAATTAAAAAAAGAAAAAAAAAAAAGAAAAGAAAAAAAAAAAAGGCAAACCCACAAAACAAAACAAACAAATAAAACTAAAACACCACAAAAAAAAACCCACTTAAAAAACCCCCCACACAAAGTGATTAGGATTATAAGGGCTAGTATACATTAAAAAAACTTTGAGCTCAGAAACCTGCAAGTGACCCAATTTTGACAAATCATCAGTATTTTCTTTGTCATACCAATAAGCTCAGATAGATTTACTGTACTGTGGTTTGGATGTGTGTAATCACTATGAGTATTTTGATCAGTGTTTTTCATCTTCTGCAGTAGTATCTGAATGAGTACTCAAGTTGTTCTAATTCAAATAAATTAGATCCATTAAGTTCTCCTGCTGGCTGCTGCAAAAAATTCCTCAAATTTAAATCTGTATTTAGAGGTAGCTTTTGGTCATTTCGTCCCTCTGTCTCTATAGATGAGAAAATCTCTTTCTCTACAGTTTATCCTACTCAAAGAAAAAAAAAAAAAAAGAACTGATTATATGGAAAAAATATCCTATAAAATCGTAAGAGTTACAAGGCTTTTATGCTCATTCAGTACACTTACATTTCAGACATTTTTGTAGCCATGTATAAACACAACAAAGATGCAGGAAGGATCTGAAAGCAACAATTTTCCACCTTTATTTCCTTCACCTCGTTCCATCTTGGATTGATCAGAAGAATAGAATAATGTCTATTAATTACTCCAGTGACATTTGATAATCAAATTATGCCAGATCCTGTTACAAGCTCTGGTTTGCACCTAGACCCATCTGTCTTCAGGGAGAGATATTCAGCAGCCAGCTGTTTCTGATAAATCCATAAAATACAAAATGCTTGTGTCATCTCTACTACAAATAAAATCTAAAAGCAAAACATTGCAGAACTATCTTGTGCCAACCAAGTTTGGAAAAAGAAAATTCACATTCCAACTGACTTCTTGACATACATAGTAATTTATAATTAAATACCACTGGGACAAGAATATGTTCAAGGTAAATATTTACCACAAACAAACATCAAAGGTGTTCTTAAATTCTTTGCCTAGATTACTGCCTTCTGCTAATCTACAAATTACAGTGTCTCTCACTTAGAAGTCATTAGCAAAAATATAAACGCTTTCATTGATTGTGTTTGTAATAGCAGTAGTAGCATAAATAGTCTATTCCAAAATTGATAATGCATAAATTCCCTACAGTCTCTGACAATGCTGAATACAAAATATCTCTAACTATATACAGAAGCCACATTAGTTCCAAGTCCTCTAATGTATAGTTTACCAGAAGGGCAAACTATTACAAAGCATCATTGCTTTGTAAGCATTAACAACAAAGAATATTCACTGCATTAACAGATGAAGTTAAAAAAAATTACAAATTATTATACAATACCTAAATCTCCATCTCCCCATGGCACTTCCAGCCAATTGCAATTATAAATCCTACTCATTTCTTTCAATCTGGAAAATAAAAAAAAATTAAAATAATAATAATAAAAAAATCTGCTCTTGCTAGTTGGACCTGTTCCTAAAACACCCTGGCTATGTTTGGAAGATCAGCAGCTCCCTGTAATTTGAACTTTCAGCCTTCAGTAAACACAGCTTTGAATATATGAGTGTGTACAAGTTGTCAGTTTCTTATGGTAAAGGACTGCTGCCTTTTTTGTCAGTTTTTCACATTTTTTCTTTAACATAACAACTTCTCAAAGTGCCAGTATCTGTGCATTGGCTTTCCAAGGCAGATTAACCGGAATTTCAGAAGAGAAACTCAGTGAAATCAAGAAAGCCTTGACATGAATAAACTGCAGGAAAAACTCCTCCTTTTTTAACCTCATGCAAAGACATACAGTTTTGTGTCCTCAAAAATCAGTATCAGTACATAGATTTTAAGGGAAGCACTGCCAAATGTCCCTATGTTATTTTACTACTTACCCATAATACGTATAGAAAAGAAAAACAAAGATATTCTGAACATGTTTCAAATGCTGTTTGAGCTGTACCTGAACTGTTTTTCTTTTAGTAGTTCGCTATTCCTTCGATTATGTTCTAAAATATTCTTTGGTTTTTGAACTGGGGCATTGATAGCTATTCTCAGCAGCAAAAACATCCAAAAATAGAGTTTTGCAATTCTTGACTTTGATTCATTTCTAAGGTATTAACATTCTCTTCCTCACATTTCCCTAGAGACTTCACTCCTTTACATCCTTTACCTGCAATTATCTATAAGTCATTCCTGCAATTATAATCATAGTAGTAAAATACTAAGTAAAAATATTTTCACAATAGTCTTTACCTCCAGCCATGTCATTCCTTTTGTAATTAATTCTAAAAATTTGTCAAGTCTCAAAAAAAAAAAAAAAAAAAAAACAAAAAAAAAAAAAAAAAAACAAAAAACCCAAAAAATAACAAAACAACAATCCCCCCAACTCAGTATAAAAAGTACATTAAAGGTTAGACTTTCAAAAGGAGAACTGTAATGAATGAAGTTCTTCTCACTGACTTCCTTGGCAGATTATTTATCCCAGGGCTCAGCACTTTAAAAAATTACTGCTCTATGGCTAAATAGGTGGAGTCCCAGCCGTCAGAACAAGCACTACCATCAAAGAAGAACTGAAAATAAAAGCCTGACACAGCTCATTACTCGGAGATGAGAAACACAGTATTTGAAAAGTGTTGTAGCTAGTATTTATTTCTGCAAAACCAACAAAAGCTATGTATTAAGACAAGTACTGTTACATTTATTTTGTAAGATGCATCTGAGTGCTTCAGCTTCTGGAAACTGAAGCAACAGACAGGATCAATAACTAAAGAGAAAAACCCTGCAACATCAGAGTGCCAAGACCAACAGAATCACTTGACTCCAGGTGTTGAATGTGTCTGATATTTTGTATATCTAATTAGGTTCAAAAGGATTTTTTTTTGTGGCACTATGAAATTACTCATTTGTCAAAATCCCTTGTAAGATAAAGAAGCATGTCAACTACTTAATTGATATTTGATGTTGCAAACTATTGAAAAAATCTTCAACAAAGGATTTAAACTTTAAAAAATATACCTATGATGCTTAACTACCATAATTAGATATGGCCAGAAAAACAGAAGCCACTTTTTTTTATTTTTTAATAAATGAAGTTTAAACAGTCAATACTGAAGAACTCCAAAAGAATCAGAATTTAGGCTAGAGATTATTAAAATATGTCTGAAAGAGAAGATGTCATTCAAGTGGCATTTACATATGTCATTTCAATGTTTCAAATAATATGAAAATTCTCTAACTAGATAACTATATAACTCTGTGTGTGTGTGTATATATATATGTGTATATATATATATATGCATACAAACAATGACAACTTGCTTGATTCAAATCAGTATAATTTCCAATGTTTATCATAATGTAGACTTTAAATCCACAAACTGGGGGCTTCATTCCAAGTGTAAATGCTAACAACTCCCTATTCCTAAAAGCCATACAAAGCTTTCCCACACATTTCTGTCTCTAATGCACCCGCACCACATGACTACACATTAGTTTTGCCATTCCAGTGTTGCATTCAGTGAATGAGTTAGTATTCAGAATTTTTTTTATCTCCATGTCTAGCAGGATCTCTTTAAGACACGTCATCCAAACTACAAACTCACTGTAACATTGTTAATTTTATACTGCCTTTTTCATGGTATTGTCCCAATAATAAAAGAATACTTCAACTCCCCTGCTGAACCTATATCAGAACATCATCCATTCATACTATTTTATAACTAAGGAACTAAAAGACAGAGTTTTGATGCCTGAATTATAAAATCATTCTAGCAGCTTATTTTTTTCTGAGTTCTTAAACAGAATGCACACTAAAAGCACAGTTTAATTATGGTTATGAGAGCTCTGAACTTCTGATATTTCAGCTTTAGATAATAATAGCCATTATCAGCCAAAAAGCTTTTACATTGGATGACTGGTCTTAAAACACATAGGTTCCAAAGCAAAGACAACAATTTACTTTTATGGGCATTAAAGCATTAACCCTTTCTCCCAACCATTCACAGCATGCTTTCTAACCTTTGCATCAAACAGTAGAACACAGGGTACGTTTTTTCTGAGTACAAAATGAATGCATTCTCAGAACATCATTCATGCTGCACAGCTCAGGAGGCTGGGGCTTTGTGGAAGAGCACAGCATGTGACTGTGCTGTCAAATACTGGGGTATAATGCCCTGAATGGTCAAATCAGGGTGGCACAGGTAACATTTTGAGTGTTTGGCATTGCATTTTTGCACACTTTTCCCACAGAAACACTAGCCACTGAACTCTACAAAAAAGCCCAGAATAACACAACAGCAATTTCCAAACACAGCTTGATGGTTCCCAACAGAAGCAACACTATGCTATGTGAAGATGATGGCGATGGCAATGGTGGGAGCAGCAGCAGTCGCTGCTGGCTCTGCGCTCGGCCACGCACGTGTGGGAAGGAGTGTGTCAGGCCCCTTCTCGTGTCACATGAAAGCACAGCCACAGCTCCACGTCCATTGCTCATGCACAGGTTGTTTTTTCCATCTTCTTGAAGCATCAACAACTGTCTGGATATTTTTCTAACCTAAACTAGCTTGCAAAGTCTGTGTGCCCTAGCTAGAATGTCAAGATGTAAAATCACATATATCTCCAAATTCAGTAATCTATTAGGTCCTCATCAGACATGGCTTGAGTAGGAGGAGCAGCTGGTAATATTCTTTGGCTGTTACTATTTCCTTGGACATGTCACTAAAACAAAGTAAGGGTTATTCAGTCCCCTTCCCAAATAGAAGGTGACAGAAAAGTCATATGGACATTCTGAGCTGAGTCAAACACAGTCTCAGCCCTAGTCCAGAGTACAAACAATTTTTCCCAAACTGTGCTGAGAATTCTCTGTATTTTCCCAGCCTGCCTGAGAGTGAATGCAGCCCAGGGCTAATTCCAAGCCTTATAAACAGCAAGCAATTGTGCAGCAAATCTGGGCCCAGTGTGTGATTTTTGTCACATCTACGAGATCTTCAAGCCAGTAGGCTGAAGGCCTTTTCCCATTTTGACTCTATCCTTTCACCCTTCTACCCAATCCTATGATATATTCTACCCTCTGCATCACTTTCAGTCCACTTTCCAATCTGCCTATTTAATTACAGACTGCATTGCAGTATGACTTTCTCTCCCTTTGCTCTGCAAGGGTGCAGAGCCAAGTCAGGTTTGGATACCTGCATGGATGAAACAGAGAGGAAGGGAAAAAAGCATCCTTCAGACTTGATAAAAGATACACTTGTTAGTCAAGTGCACTGCAACAATCAGAAGCCTTAATTGCAACAGAAGTCTCTCAGTACTTCAGGATGTCTATCAATAAATGTATATTCCCAGCATGGCAATCACAAAGAGGCTCTAGGAGCTAGACCCTGCTAAGATGGATTCTACAGAAAATTTTAGTTTACATATTTTACTTATATTCTGAGAATTGCAAAACTAGTATAATTGTGGCTAGAATAATTTCTTTGTAAGAGTAGTAAGAGAGCCTAACCTTCAACCATGTAATGGAGTGGCTAGTACTAACACTGATAAACTCTTGTGAAATTTCTTTTCAGCTGAGGGATACTGTCCAAGTTTTTTTTGAAAATACTGACCTAACCAGCTAAAATGACCATAAATAAAAGTTTCTTTAGGTCAGGAAATCTTAGCCCAAAAAGTGAAAATCATGAGGGCTCTGTGTATTAAAACTGATGAATAAATGCAATCACACAGTATCATTGCATTCAAATGGTTACTTGGAAGATAAGGAAACTGGTGCTTATATTCTTGAATATTGCTTAGTTCTGAAACTGTCATTAATGGAAATCATCAAAGGTATTTTAAGAATAAGAATATATTTTAAGACTATAGCTAACATATAGCTATATTTTACACAGTAAATTCACAGTTCCTTTATGTAAAACATATGAACTCACTGCTGTCTACTACTTTCATTGACTATTTCAACATTTCTATTTTTTTAATTTTGTACCATGTCATCATGAATTTCAAGCTTGACTTCCATAATTTCTTTTTTGTTTCACTCTAAACCTTATGATATCATCAATATTAAATGGAATTATGATCACTCTTTAAAAAAAATCCTCTTAAGATTCTTGCAATTATTCAAGGCTCCCTTTTACACACTTGGACTATGGAAAAAAAATACAGGAAAATATGGCACAGGCAATAGGAGTCCTAAGCACTTCTAAGAGCGTTTATTTCTCACTGTTGAAAATGTCAGTGTTCAGCAACTTCAATACCTCCTAAGTACCTCTCTATGCAAGCCTTTACAATTATATTTTGTCCTTAGTATCTTAGTACAGGAAAATAATTCTGTCACCTGTGTTCCTCTATTGCCTCCTATTTCAGCTATCTATAGACTCCTTACAAATAAAGTTATATGTAAAGTTTACTCCTCCCCCTCCTTTCATTC